AGTTGTCCTCACACATCAACTCTTGTCCTCACACATCAACAGTTGTCCTCACACATCAACAGTTTCCTCACACATCAACAGTTTCCTCACACATCAACAGTTTCCTCACACATCAACAGTTTCCTCACACATCAACAGTTTCCTCACACATCAACAGTTTCCTCACACATCAACAGTTTCCTCACACATCAACAGTTTCCTCACACATCAACAGTTGTCCTCACACATCAACAGTTGTCCTCACACATCAACAGTTGTCCTCACACATCAACAGTTGTCCTCACATCATCATCAGTTGTCCTCACACATCAACAGTTGTCCTCACACATCAACAGTTGTCCTCACACATCAACAGTTCCTCACACATCATCAGTTGTCCTCACACATCAACAGTTTCCTCACACATCATCAGTTGTCCTCACACATCAACAGTTGTCCTCACACATCAACAGTTGTCCTCACACATCAACAGTTGCCCTCACACACCAATAATTGGCCTCACATAACAAACGTTGTTCTCACATACGAACAAGTCTCCTCACATACCTGCAGTGTCCCCCAGGCACCAACAGGTGTTCTCACGTAACACGATAATTACCAGGTGTCCTCCCCGTCACTCAGGTAAGGAGTGCTATACCACCTCGACTGTACTTTGTGTTAACACCGTATTTACCACCAACTTCAAGTAGGTGTGTTGGTGGGTGTGTCCTCAGTGCTCGCTAACCCCTGCCACTGTCCACACCTCCGCCGCGCCTCTCACCAGCATGTGCTCCGCCTCCTTACATGCGACTGGCTTCACTGCGGAGAAATTCGAGGTTAGTTAACAGCCTTCCTGACGGTGAAGGTAGAGTAAAGTGAGAAATACAGGTTAGTTAGGAATATTTTCGGTGTCAAATTTGAAGTCGGTGAAGAATAACTTGAACAGCAAAGCTGATTAGAAACAGTGAGACATGCGGGGTGAGAGCGAAGGTGACCAAAACACAGTGAGGAAGACACGTGATATGACCCCACCCAGGGCCGAGTGGCGTCATAACCATGACAGGCATGAGGATGGCGGCAGCTGTCGCCCACACCACCAACACCTTCCTTCCTCTGTGTTGTAGACAGCGTCTGGCATTATGTTGGTTTCTATTATTACTTTTTACCCATTTTATTCGTCACTTACTAGTTAGTAACTGGTCGCGGTTTTCCAGTGTTAGTACCAGAGGTAACAGGAGTACCTGGAGAAAACCCAGGCGGGCATTGAACCTTGGATGGCGGTGGTGTCAGCTAAATACGTTAACGCTACACCATCGACATTTTACTTTACATTATTGCACCTCCAAGTACGAAGAGTTCACCTGCTGGCAACAATTGTGCTCCAGATTGTTATGCAAACAATTTATCTCTAAAACTACATTACGAAAAACAGTGATAAACAATATGGGACTATTGTGACCATATTGTGTCGCGGTGGACGTTAGTGAGATGTTTCAAGCCAGTCCACTTGACTGTAAACAAAGAGGAGTTCCTGGCACACTATATTGTTGACTCCCTCACTCCAGCCATCTTCCTGTATACGCTATACTGCGTCAGTTGTAATCGATATTGGAAGCATACGCCAGTGAACGAAATGAACCAATCATAACTCTTGGAACTTTCGTGGGTGGGTGTATCAAGTGAGCCACTCATTGGTGCTAACACACACACACACACACGCGCAGGACATACATTAATGAAAGCTGAGGTCCTTGTATATGTATTTTAGCAACCCTGACACTGGAAAATATACATTATTTACTGGTCTGTGTGTGTGTGTGTGTTTACATTGCTGAGAATTAAGTATATATCCCATTAGATAAGACTGTGCACTTTATATGATGTAATGAACTGATTTACTAATTTACAGGGTCGATCTATCGTAAGTACAAAGTGTAGCGATGAACTTTGTCACGGATTTTAACAGGCAACAGGTTAAACACTAGTGGCAGTCAAGGGGATAAGTCATCGTACTCAAGGGGAAGCAGTTAAGTTATCGTCTCAAGGGCTTGTCATCGTACTCAGGAGATTAAATCATCGTACTCAAGAAGTTTAATCATCTTACTCAAGAGGTTAATAGTGTGTTTTCAGTCCTCTGCCCAGTTCCCGGCGTGCTCTTACACTGTGGTACAACGCACATGTGCAAATTTTGTGAAAATACAGATAATTGGTGTAGTAGTTGCCACACCTAACCTGATGCTGCTGTACCATCATACTTAATTAAGGTTTATCCCTGACACACCAACCTTACTCTGGCAGAACACTTGGGGTGGCGTTCATCGTTAGTCCATTAGTCTCTTTCGTCTCTTACTACTCGTTAGTTCAGACAATGAAACCAGGCCATCCTCTACACCTGCCGTGACCTGGTTCTTTCGCCGTGCCATAAATAGATTGCTATCTGGCCTGATCTAAATAATGTTTGTTCTAAATTTTGAGAAAATTGATGAAGGCCGTGTCGAGATCACGTCTCTAAACAGAATGGCGGAACCTGTACTTAAGGAAAACCCGTAAGTTCTACCTGAGGGACATGTAATTAACACACCTGCCCCGTAGCCCTGATCAGCAGGACAACTTCATTACCGTTCCAGTGAGATGTAATGGAAGTGACATGAAGGATCGAAGTTATCTTCAAGTGTTAGTTGTCTCTGGAACACGTTTTAGAGAGGTGGATTTATTATGCACAGAGAAACTCCCAGCTGCCTTTAACAAGGCCTCAACCATAAATCAGAGTAGAACAATGTTGGAGAGTTGTATTGGTGTTTTTTCAGTATCCTTATTTTTCAGGAAAGGGGGTGAATTTTTACTCGAAAGCTTTGTTTCCGACGAATAGGAGAAATAATGGAGTAAACTACAAGTGTGAACGTAAAAATAGAGTAAATTGTAGTTTATAAAGCACACACGGGTCGTCATCTCTGTACATTATAACAGTTTCGTGACGCCACCTCCCACACCACCTGCACATTGAGTCACGTGGAGTAATAATTGTTAGTTCGTTGTATTGCCTGGCATGTGGGAGCACGGGGGGGGAGGGGAGGCAGTGCTTGTCAGCCCCCAGTAACGGCCACACCTCACGCACCACTCACAATCTGTTCCTCCCCCTGCTTCTGGAGACAGGATTCACCGCGGATAAGTTCCAGGTCAGCCTTGAATTGTTTTTAAAGTTACAACGAGCAAGTTGTTCGTCCGTTCTGAGGTTGAGTACACAGTTTGTCATAAATGAAAATTCTGGAGGTCAGTTACAGTCATACTAAGTTCACGGACATATATACAGCTCCCCATTTAAGTATACTAATTTGTACAGTGTGAGGACAAGGAAGTGTGTCGTTGCTGATTGAATTCTGGGACTTTAAGAAGCATAGGAAGTCAACTTGGTTATTTGAGACCTCCCTCTGCCGGTTAGTTTTTATTATTAACCCCTTGAGCACGATGACTTAACTCATCTTCCCTTTCTCTTCGCAGCAATGTTGGTTCATTCTCTCTCTTTTACAGCTACTTTAATGTTCAGTGGATTTGGCATCCTATGTACCGCCGGCAATGCAATGGGCTCGTAACCCTCGGTGGCCATCGTTTCTGTGTGGATGTCGGTCACCCTAGAATAGCTCGTCATAGTACCTCCTTCTTTCCTCACACAGCCAAACTGTGGAATGCTCTGCCTTCTTCTGTGTTTCCATACTCTTACAATCTGTGTTACTTCATAAAGCTGGTTTTTCGGCATCTTCGTGGTGTAGATTAATATAGTCTTTTGCTCTTTTATTTTTAATTTATTTTTACTCTTAATCCCCCCCCTCCCCCCACCAGGCCCCGTTGTAGGTCGATGACCTGTGCCAGGGTGGGCTATTCCCGTAAAAATAAAAATTACGATGACTTAACCCCTTGAGGGCGAGAACATGTATTCTGCGGGGGGAGGGGGGTAAGGGGGGTTAGGTCATCGTAATCATGGAGCTAAGCTTGGTAGACTCTACAAGTTATTCAATAATAACACCTTACATTTTTGGTCACATTCTTACTACTCACGCCGGTTGGGGCGGTCACTGCTCATTGTTGTTTGTAACTATTTATCCAACTATTATGTTGGCAGCATTACTCGAGGACGGGAAGAGCAACAATATTCATAATACTGTACAGTAATGTTATTTAATCCCCATAACATTTCCTGATGTTGCTCTATTTTGTTTGCATCAAAACTTAAGATCACAACCTTGAAAAAGTAAAGTAACAAGTGAAAGTAGGCTAAGGTGTGCAGACGAGGGGGGGGTGAGGCTCCAGTAGAGGAGAGGTAGTGTGTGTGAGGCTCCTTGAGGTATTTCACCTGGGATTGATATAGATTGCTCTTCCTCCACCCTCCCTGCACACCTTCCACCCTCCCTGCACACCCTTCACCCTCCCTGCACACCCTTCACCCTTCTTGCACACCTTCACTTCTTGCACCCTTCCACCCTCCCTGCACACCTTCCACCCTCCCTGCACACCCTTCACCCTCCCTGCACACCCTTCACCCTTCTTGCACACCTTCCACCCTCCCTGCACACCTTCCACCCTCCCTGCACACCCTTCACCCTCCCTGCACACCCTTCACCCTTCTTGCACACCTTCCACCCTCCCTGCACGTCCTACATCCTTCCTGCACACCCTTCCTGCACACCCTTCCTGCACACCCTCCTTCTCGCCCCCCTTCTTGATATATCCTACACCAGGTCACATTCAAACTGGAAATATTGTTGGGTATATTTTCGATAAAACATTGTGATGCGAGAGACTAAGCTGCAGTTTTTCGGTTCGTCATCGTTTCTCAGTTTTCCTTTATCATCCATGTGACCAAAACATAAGCCAAACACCTCGAATAGAAACTTTGTAATTGTGTTCGGGTCTTGTTATTTAATGTGAAATCGAGGTCCAAGCTGACGTTCTCTCTCTGACTCTCTCTCTCTCTATTTTACTTCTCTTTCCCTCGCTATGTCTTTTATTAAGTTCTCCTCTTACAGAATGGGCGGTGGGTGGCGAACCCGGAATCAGCGATTAATTTCGGCATCGTCTACAGGGACTTCTTGCCCTCGTTGGACCCAGATAGCTCCTCCTGCTGCTCCACCAGCTACAAGAGCTTCAGGTTAGTCGTCCATGTTCTTCCCTCCAGGTAGATCCTCTCCTCCACCCACAACTCCCTCAGTCAGGTCCTCTCCTCCACCCACAACTCCGCCAGTCAGGTCCTCTCCTCCACCCACAACCCCATCAGTCAGGTCCTCTCCTCCACCCACAACTCCATCAGTCAGTGTGGCGAAAACGGAAAATGGCAGCAATCTCCTTACGTGTGATTAACGGCGACAGTGTGGCGAAAACGAAAAATGGCAGCAATCGCCTTATGTGTGATTAATATGATATACAATCCAAGTTCAGATTTGCCACAGGTTTTATAAATATTACAAATTGAACAAAAGGCATCATCCTTAGCTGAAATGGATCTGGTCGACTTTTTTTAACCAATTACAAAACTTCTCTTTTTGCAAAATTTCTGTTTAGATTTTTGAGACCAGGACTTTGTTTGCTTGACACTCTTCACCATTTTCCTAGAAGGTGTGGATGTTGGGCTGACAGTCACAGAAGTCTCCACACAAGAATGTTCAGAGTCCGGACCCTCTTGTCTTTCCATGTTGCTGAGCCTTTTCCCTTTTATTTCTTAACCAAATGAAGAGGATAAATTGGAAAGATTCAGTAGAGTACATAATTGGAAATCATAAAAAAAATCTTCTCTTTTTGATGGAGATTTAAAATAATATGAACTTTATATTCAGCGCCAAATGAATATTTATGGTGATATGACCCACTATCACTACCAACGACATCGGTATGCACGAAGGTAAGCTTATTTTTTTATCAATAGGGCCTATTTTACTTTAGGTCAGGTTGCCAACGGTTACATTGTTTATACCCTACAGTTTCTCTCATCTTCAGAGCCCTGTCCACTTTGTGTATACCATTGTCATTGCGAGGTGTGATGGGTCATATATTCATAAATATTGATCAGCGACAAAAAATAAATATTCTTTTAAATCGCCGTCAAAGACACAAGAAAAACCTAATTTTGTTTGTGATTTCCAATTATGTATTCAACCGAATCTTAAATGATGAATTAAATAGCCTATATGAGTTTGAATGGCGGTCTTAATGGAGCCGTAATTTCCCAAGTCTATGGGATTCTGATGCCTGAGTTAACTACTGTACACTGTGGACTTTAGGTTGCCAGGTTTGTTTTTCTAGAGGAGGCCAACCAGAATTACAGAAAGGCCAAATAAAAGGTCGAATCCCTATTTTATCAGTACTATATGATTAATTAAGTGAAGTATATATTGAAAGTACAGTTGGCTCCACTCCTGCGTTTACCACTTAGCGTTGCCAATCCTGTCTCTTCCTGAGATCTGAACCCCAAACACTGAACTCTGAATTCGAAGCATCTGCCCAGTTAGCGAGAGGCAGAGGAGAGAGATGCGTCGGGGTAGGTGTTTTTCTGTAGGCGGGGGGGGATGTATTGTACATTGTACAGTATTTCAGTTGGGAAGGTTACAATGTAGAATGATGCTTTGACAACACCAACAGGGTTTCTTCAGCTGAATGTAATCGTCTAGCGCGAGCCAGATGAAAATGCTAAAGTTACAGTAAGATGAGAGGGCGATGAATTAATTTTCTAAGTAAGATGGTCCTTTGTAAAAGGGGGCATTTATGACCAAATGGATTATGGATATGTTTGAATCTATATCTTGTAGAAGCAGCGACGCTACGAGATGGAACTTCCCCAGCCGAATAAAATCGTCTGGCGGTAACCAGAATAAAATAGATAAGAAGACATCGTAGTGAAAGGATTAATTAACAATTAAAATAATCAGGAATGGGCAATACATATTTATCGCAATACAAACTTGATGTGAAGAAAAACAATTGACAGCTGTCCGGTGAGGATATTGTTTGTTTCTGTTTGCTTGTTGGTATGTCTCTACTGTGAGTTTGTTCATTTCACTCCTTATGTTGTAGGTCAGGTCAGGTTCTGATACGTGTCAATATGTTCAGTTTTGTTTGCTTATGAATAAATCCAATTTTATGATTTTTTTTTAATTATGATAACTTATGCTTAAAATTTTCACTTAGTGTAGAAAGCCAGAACTGTACTGTGTAGATCCGTTAAGCTACCAAGTGTGTTACCTTTGTTGAGGAGAGAGCTTGGGCGTTTAAAGGGAATGTTTTTGTTTTTGTTTTCAAAACATTTTAGTAGTAAATTCGTCGACTTGTATTAATAAATTAAGCAATTATGTTTCATTAAAACTTTCACTGATGCTTTCATAATATTTTTTCTGGTGAAGAGAATGGTGGAAGAATTATTAATGAATCATAGTCTCAATATTGTGCGGGGTCGGGATCTTTACTGTCACTGAATAAGAAAATTATGTAGTGGGTTGACTCGTAAATATTTCACACTCACGCCTTAGTCTTGAGTTATTGTATGTAAACCAAGTATTACTGGTCCATGAACCACTTCTACTACACTTATAGGTCTGGACACATATGGACTTGAAGTGACCGTCCAGAACGACATAATTAAGAGAGTCGGTGGTGCGAGTGAACACACTTATTGCTGAACACATTGTCCCAAACCTTTACTAATACAGTGAAGTAATGTGTCCCCTTTGATAAATCTCTATACAATGTGAACTTGTACGATAATGTTTGTAATTCATATCGGCACCCACCATATTTCACCTGATGATTTAACATCCAAACACCACTTGAGGGGCTGGTTTAGAGTATTTGATCATAGGGGAAAATATTCTGGGATTCCTAATCTTCAGTTCTGGATTAAGGATAGTGTTTTGTTACAGTGAGACGGTGCAACAAGCCAACGAATGGCTGAGTGACCGCGAGGGATGTGAAGTGGTGGCATGTGACAGCCTCGCGTGTACCTCAGCTGGCCTGCCCTCCTACCTCCCCGACTCCTGGCCTATCACCACGCACCTCAGGTACACACACTACCATTCTCTTACTTGGGTTTTTCTTGTCATAATTTATCTCTTTTTCTTTATATTTTTGATCACATGAAGATTAGGCACCCTGCTTATTTCAACTGATGATTACACCTAACCTAACCCACCAGGTATCATTATTAGGGTTTTTAATCATCAGGTAATAATGTCTGATACCACTTCACCACTGTCTGTTACGTGTGTTTGTCTCGTGTCAGTGTTGTTAAGGCCAATGAAATTATCTAATGTACCCTGGAAGTGCCAACACGGCCTGCCTTTTCCTTGTCTTTGAGGTGCAGTAGTCAACGTTCTTGGCTACACTATCTTCACTACCACTTTGAGCCTTGGGGACCAACCAGAGGTGAAAATAAAGTCCTTTATACAGTAGATTCATGTGTTAAGAGAGACGAATCACTGAAAACTTCCACCTGCCCTTCACTTCCTCATGATGAAGAAGTACAAGAAGCCTGGAGTAAGGCGAGTCCTTATGAAAATGTTATCATCGTCCGCCTCGGGAACTGTACTTCTAACTCTACGAAACAACTCACAAATAAAATATACGCGAATAAAAATAGTTTCAAGTCAAACTCACTAGATCTTCGAAGTTTATTCTTGGACTCATCCATCCACATTATTTTCTGTTTCAGCAAAGAAGTGATCGAGTGGACTGAACTCATACTCATCGTCGATATTTGTTTTTCCTCAAGTATAATGTTTTCTAAACCAGTGTGTTCCATATTAGTGACGATACTGCTTTTCTCTTAACGATCTTCTTCCTCCCGAGACTCACAAGGAACATAGTTATGAACCTCTTTCCTCTCACTCACATCTTCTCGAGGGGAGATAATTGTAAACATTGCGCGACGTCTACACTATACATAAACTACCTCATGGTCGTCTTACTCAAAGGTCGTCGTGTTTTCCTCCATATGAATATCATTTGTAAGTCTGGCCACCATCACCACCCTACAGCCGCCATCACTACCATCACCACTGCTCTCACCACTACCACCCCCCACTATCACTACCATCCCTACCACCCCAGAGCCGCCACCACCACTAACACCACCATTACCACCACCATCACCACACCCTTCACTCCCTTGACAATAGTCATCTTTGGTTGTTAGACCATTATCTTGCCTCTTCCACAGCTACTATCCTGTCCAGTCTCACTCACTTAACACCTTCCATATCTTCTCTGGGTAGAGGTGCGTTTCCTGTTTCTTTTCATTCCTATTCTAAGTATTCTCCCTCCCTCCCTCCCTTTGCCACCGTCCCACTCATTCATCGTACCTTACCTCTCTTCTCCTTTTGTCCTTTTCTTGTTTCTGTTTGTCCCTCTCTTTTCTACGCCCGCTCCTCCGTTTCTCTCCCTCTAAGCTGTGTTTCCTCTCACAGGGGTCTGCGGGTGTGGGTACGGGACCCAAATGACGATGAATCCACCACTGAGAGTGGACGTTCCTTGCTCAGCTACCGGGACTTCACACCACACCTTGGAAAGAAGAACTTGTTCAGTCGAGATTACGAGGATTCGAACGTCGTATTGGAACGCCTCAACTCCTACCTGTCCTTCCGCAGCTCCTCCGTCCGTGTCCTGGGCGTCGAGACTTTGGTGGGTGACCTAACAATAACACCTCTCTCTCTCTCTCTCTCTCTCTCTCTCTCTCTCTCTCTCTCTCTTTGTAAACATAGGCCCACTGGGGTTAGGTAAGGTTATGCTTATCAAAGACTTGAGAGCCGAACACCGTCACGAAACACCAAGCAATTGGGTAAAAAAAAATCATAAAACACCACCAGCTCAAACAGTGCCTGGCTCGCCCATCCACCCTGCACCAACAAAACATATCACGGGAATTGTCATTTATTGTACTCTCGGCCGCTTCTAAGCTGCCGTTGTTCTCCGAGAGTATTAAAATGTTGTTCTCTCGTCGCCTCCCTCAGGACACCCCTTTGACCGGGCTGTTGGACCTAGACGTCGACACTGAGAAGTCCTCCCTAACCTTCCACCAACACGGCTTTACCAAGTAGGTGATCTTATGAGCGTGTGTTACTATGTAAGATTGCAATATTAATGTAAAATTGATTACCAGACTGACACGCACTCTACAACACACACACACACGCACGCACTCTCCAAAACACACACGCACGCACTCTCCAAAACACACACGCACGCACTCTCCAAAACACACACACACGCACACTCTCAAAACACACACACACACACACTCTCCAAAACACACACACACACACACGCACTCTCCAATACACACACACTCTCCAAAACACACACGCACACACTCTCCAAAACACACACGCATGCACTCTCCAAAACACACATACACACATGCACTCTCCAAAACACACACACACACACACACGCACACACTCTCCAAAACACACATGCACTCTCCAAAACACACACGCACGCACTCTCCAAAACACACACACACACACACACACACACACACACACACATGTTCTAGCCGGTTAACTGCTGATTTTGTCGAGGTTAATGAGGCGGGAACATTTATATTATATTGGGTTTTAGTAGTGAAACCCAATCGTCTGTTATCCATTTATTTTGGAACTATCTAGGGTACAGTTCCGAAGTATAGGTCACCTTAACTTATCACTGTATGAGTGTTAAGAGAAGGACGGAGGCTATGTAAAATAGACCTTCTATTATAGGTCCGATCTGTGTAAGGCGTTGAGTCACAATGCTAATGAGTAGTGACCCATCGAGGGAGAAAAGGACATATATGTCGTCCTCCCTCGACGGAAGACGGAACCATCCACGATGGCTCTCAAATTACGTCTTCCTCTAGTCAAGGATATCAAACTACTGCCCGCTTTAGGTGGCCAGGGAGCCGGCTACTTAATGCCTTAACTCAGCACAATATGACGCGGCTTCCCGTGGGCACACCTTATCACGTGCTCTGAACATGTCACCTCATAGCCGGTGGAAAGTTACAGGGGATGATAGAATATATAAATCAAATGTAATTAACCCATTTATATAATGCTTCTGCCTATTCGACAGGGGATATTACATTGCTCGGTCACCTACCATCCAAGATCCGCGAGGACTAAACTAAACTCGCAAATAAACATCCTATACATAAGCCGAACCATGTTACACACTATGTGTAAACACTAAGCTGGGGACTCTGGAACAGTAGGTTTTTCATCAACTACTGGGGTCCTAGACTTAACTGTCTTACGGGCAGGGCCGTCCCTAGGAGGGTGTGGGGCCCCGGACAACTCAGCCACTGCGGGGCCCCAGATTATGCGGTCAGAGGACCCCACCCTCACCAACCCACATGGGACTGTCACTATGGATGGTAAGGTCACGGTTGCGATGGTGGCATAAGCCGTCAGGTCAGATTAACCAGTCAACAGGTAATGTGTCCGAGGTCACTGGGTCTAGTGCTGGGCCCCGCGGGGCCCCCACACGCGCGGGGCCACTGGTGGTCGCCCTTGTTCGCCCCCCCTAAAGGCCAGTCTGTGCGGTGCGCTACCTGTCCCAGATGTTGTGGGCCTCATCGGCACCTTACGTTTGTGAACTTTAGGGAGGACTCTCAGCCGTGGTGAGTAGGTGGGTGGCCTGCTCTAGTAAATTTAGGAAGATCGACCTCAAATCTGTGTTTTCCTTATCACCACAGACCATCCATATCTTAACATCCAGCAGACAGTCCTGTCCGGGGACATGATGGCAGGTATGGTCATGAGGTGTACACTTACTTAAGGTTAATACCGTAAGATATTAATCTTTAATACGTTGTTAACATGTTTTAATCTGCTGTGTTATTCCCCTATTTATTTTTATGCACATTTTATTGGGTTTCTCCTTTGTGTTCCTCGCCAGGTACTGTCGGTCACTGCGTGTGTTCCTGGTGACGCAATACCACGGGAAGAAGCAGATCCGCTCCCACAGTCCTCACCCACTGCCAAGGGTCGTGTTCATGGACTTCACCCCCAAGGACCAGTCTCAGGGCTTGGCCAGGTAGGCTGTGTGGCGTCTTGGACCTGTTGTGTCAAAGACTGATGAGTGTGTTTGTGTTGTATTTCTGGTGGAGGTGTGTTGTGGTAGGAAGTGATGTGTTGTGATAGGTGGTGATGTGTTGTGATAGGTGGTGGTGTTAAGAACATAAGAATGGAGGAAACTGCAGCTGGCCTAGTGGCCCAAACTGGGCAGTCCCATTTACACCCAACCTCTATTGCTCATATATCCATCCAACATATGTTTGAAGCTATCCAGCGTATTCGAGTTAATGATGATACGTATATGGTAACTTGTTCCACTCGTCCACTACTCTATTTCCAAACCAATATTTACCTATTTCGCGCCTAAATCTAAATTTGTCTAATTTAAAACCATTGTTACGAGTTCACTCCTGATTGGATAGTTTGAGTACCTTTGTTATGTCCCCTTTGTTTAGCCCTGACTTCCATTTATACACCTCTATCATATTACCCCCCACTCTACGTCTCGCGAGGGAGTGCAAATTAAGATGCTTTAACCTGTCTCTGTTCTCAAGGTTCCTAATGCCTGGGATTAGTCTTGTCATTTTCCTCTGAATTCTTTCCAAGGATTCTATATCCATTCTGTAATACGGTGACCAGAATTGAACTGCCTAATCCAAGTGAGGCCTCACAAGCACAAGATATAGTTTTAGGATGGCCTCGCTAGTCTTGTAACTAACACTCCTTTGTATGAACCCAAGTACTTTATTAGCCTTGTTTCGAGCAAATACACATTGTTTACTTGGCTTAAAATTCCTACTTATCATTACAGTGAGTTCTGCTATAAAGCGTGTTTTTGACAATGCGAATTGGCTCTAACGCGATTTATGAATAGAAGAACGATATTTGTAAAACGCGAACGCTTGTTTGCTGTAACTCGATTTTTGCTTACTATTTCTCCAATTTTGTGATATTAACTGTGAATATGGTAAAGAAGAATATCTCCAAGAAGCGTTAGGTGATCGCATTCCCGGTGATGATCGTAAAAGAAAGGCTATAACACTTGAAGAGAAGCTCGATGTTATCAACCTCAAAATCACCCTTCTCCCCCATCAAGTTATATTCATATTTTTTCAAGGTAAAGTGTTACATTTACTGTATAATTTCATTATTAGATATGAATGTAACATTTATTTAGACTATGCTATCCTTTGTGTTAGGCTAACTACTAATTTTTTTTCGATTTCGAGTAATCTGCATCTAACCCTATTTTCTCCATAAGTCCTGTTATTTCTATTACTCGAATTTCTATAACACGATGTTTTACAAGAACACAACTATCTCATTATAGCAGAACTGACTGCACTCCTAAATCCTTCTCGCAGTCGGATTTCTCAATAACATCGTTGTTCATCTGGTATCTGGTTTCCCTGTTTACATCTCCTATACTGAGTACTTTACATTTGTCCACATTGAATTTCATCTGCAATTTTCAGACCATTCGAAATTTATTTTTAGATCTTCCTGTAGTTTTTCGGAGTCCTCGTCAGATTTAATTGCACGCCCTATTTTAGTGTCATCAGTAAATTTACTTAAGTTGCTGTCTACACCGATATCTATGTCGTTTATGTATATAATAAATAATATTGGTCCAAGTACTGAGCCTTGGGGAACTCCACTAGTCACGTTGCTCCAATCGGATTTCGTGCCGTTAATGCTCACTCGCTGTTTCCTGTCCTGTAACCACGCCCTAATCCATTTAAGGATATTACCTTTGATGCCATGTGCTTCTACGTTTCTAATTAGTCTTTCGTGGGGGACTCTGTCGAAGGCTTTGCTAAAGTCGAGATATACCACATCATAATTGTGCCCCTCGTCCACCGATTCGAAAACTGATGAAAAGAATGTTAATAGCTTAGTTAGACATGAACGTCCGCTTGTGAAGCCATGCTGGGAATCATTGATCAATCGGTGCTTCTCCAGGTGATTTCGAATAGAGTTTGAAATGATTGCTTCCGGTAATTTGCCTACTTTTGATGTTAGACTGATTGGACGGTAGTTAGAGGATAGTGATCTATCTCCCTTCTTGAAAATCGGCATTACATTTGCTATCCTCCAGGATTCTGGTACTACACCCGTTTTTAAGGACATGTTAAACAACTTTGCGAAGGGCATAGTAAGCTCTTCCTTACACTCCTTTAATACTCTGGCAAATATCTCATCGGATGTTGTGGTAGTAGTAGGTTGTGGTAGGTGTTGGTGGTGTGTTATGGTAGCGTAATAGCTTGTCATAGTAGTTTTATACGATCAGTAACAGGTTAAAATGACCGTGGAATGCATGATTATATATGACAATTATAAATTCAGCTTTTTTTGCGTACTCTATACAAATAATGTGTAAATATAGATTTTGTGTGTTTGTGTAAATAATATTAGGTATCGTAAAGTTGGTTGTGTTTCAGAGATGAGGCGATGGTGTCGGAGATGATAAAGCGAGCCTTGAGATGGTGCTGTACTAATGATGGCGTCACCTTCCTCAACCTACAGGTGGGTTATCCCTCCCTCATCCTACCAGGTTTGGCCGCATGAAGTGGAGGTTTGTATGATCTCATGGGCCAGTACGTCGGTAATATGAACTTTGAAATTTCTGCTTTCACTCAGAAAATTAACTTTCCATCTGGAGTTGACCTTTTAAAGTATATTGCTCAGCCTCAACGTATAATATTTATCAGATGAGAGGATGAAAGATTAAGTTGACCCAGACGAGACCCGATAAGGTTATAAATTTGTTCAAAACTTACATATGAAAACTTAAGCGCGTGCGCACACACACACACACACACACACACACACACACACACACACACACACACATAAACTTCCTTCAGCCTTCATAAGGTAAGGACGTGTGTAGTCGGTGCTGCCCGAGGTCTCTTGACCATGGGGACAGCTGCCAGCCCGGTTTGTCGGGCCCTCCCCTTCCCCATCTCCTCCCCATCTGGATTTATTAACATCCTCCCACTAACAGTACAGTGCAAAGATTGATGATCAACCCACAACTGATATACAGAAGTGACAATTTAAACTCGAAAGGAAGAAACAACTGTTAGAGCGACACTCAGTACTTACCGGTCAATGTTGACCTGACGCATCCAGCCCGCGGTACACTCGCCACCCCCAACACTGGATGAGAAGCCAAGAAACACCCCAAACTACACCAGGAGTGAACTATGAATTCCTAACTACTTCACATGAGGATCAAGAACCATCTCCAACACCCTGTGTAAGCTGGAGGACCTACCCGGACCCCGTGGTACATCTGCAGCTGTAGTGAGGTAGCGGATTAGCAGTCAGGTACAACGGCCATCATGACAGTGGGAAGGACTTTGTTGGCGCCGACATCAGGTCACAAGAATGTCTACAGACCAGCTCCCACAGTACCAGATCTAAAGTTAATCTATATGTTGACTCTGTTTTTCTTATGTTTCTGTATTGAAAACTTTTGTCAATCAAGTGACCCACTCCCCGATTTCACCTTATGTAACTTATCATCTCTGTTCATTATATATTTTCAGCCTTCGGGCTGCCATGTTTTCTTAATAAACCATTAATTATTAGTATTAGTAGTAGTAGTATTAATATTATTATTAAACACACACAAACACTGATACACTTTGAAACACTTAGGAGAACAGAAAAACAATACATGAATCAACAATTGTTTATTTTAATCAGTAATCCTCAGCAATTATTCATACACTGATTTACTCCCCCTCAGCTTAATTTCAATACTGTACTTCATATTATTTGGAACCTTTAATATCATAATCTTCTTCCAGGTCCTGCATGCAAAGGCTGGAAAAAACACCACTGCTTCTACCTGGTTACTTGAGAATCCTGGCCACGTCTTCAACAAATTCTTTTCTTTCGTCCGCATCTTTTACACTATACAAGGGACGATTCAAACGGAAGAGAAAGAAAGCACCAGTAGTGACGAAGGCGACGTTGTTTTCACGTCTGCAGGATATAACTTGGCTTTAGAGTTTACTGAGGTGAGTGACAACAGTGACGCCATCACCCCTAGGAAGGCGCTGCCCCCCATTAAGGACTTCTCACACAACAATTTGAAGAGCTTGCCGCAGGGGAGCGAGTCTGAGGACCATCAAGACAACTCTCACATCGTCGTGGAGGGTGAGTTGTATAGATATATTACACATAAGAATGAGTGGGTAAATATTTGTGTTCTGGCAACGATGGGAAATTCGAGGCTAAATCACCTGTGGGAATTATACACAGCAGGTGAGTGACGTCAGGTGTTCTCATCCCCAGTGGGACGGAAAATTTAATCAGTTGGGAGAGATTACAATGCAAGATAACCCTTTGACAATACCGACGGGGTTTCCTCTGCTGAGTGTTATCGTTTACTGCTACCAGATGAAAATACTAAAGTTACAACTGAATGAGAGTGGCATGAATTCATGTTCTAGGTTGTTGTTTTTTTACGGGGAATCACCCACCCGGGCACAGGTCATCGACCCACAATGGGCCTGGGGGCGAAAAAATAAGAGTAAAAAGAAATTAAAAATAGAAGAGAAAAATACTATATTAATCTACACCACAAAGATGCCGGAAAACCAGCTTTTTGAAGTGAGACAGATTGTATGAGTATGGAAACACAGAAGAAGGCAGAGCATTCCACAATTTGGCTTTGTGAGGAAAGAAGGATGCACTATAAAGGGTTATTCTAGTGTGACCGACATCCACAGAGAAACGGTGGACACCGCGGGCAAGACGAGTGTTACGAGCCCACGGCGGTACACAGAATGCCAAATCCACCGAACATTGCCCGTTAAAATACCTGTAAAAGAGAGAGTGAAGCAACATTGCGGCGAAGATAAAGGGAAGAAACATTATCAACTAAAGGAAGAGAGTTGCCGTCACGACAGAGTGCATACATGACGCCCAAGTGTTACCTCAGAAGTGCCACTCCTCCCGGCTCTCGTGTGCCATCCTGCCTCACACTCCAGGATTATCCATCACTTTTGATATACAACCACATATTAGCCATGAATACAGAGTGCCATAAGAGATCGATGAGTAACTTCCTGTGGTGTAATATACGAGTATATTAATCTTTAAACGAGCTGTTTGCACTTGGGGTCTTACATTATTTTTTTTATCCTCTTTGCAGATTTAATTGGTTTGGCATGTATAGAATCTCAAAAAGCATTTGTTCACACTGTGTGAAAACATTATGAGACCACAGACGACAGATACTGAGACAATAGACGTGCATTCACTTTGGTATATAGTTTAACATAATTAATGCAATGTGTATTTATTTCGGTTACCAAATGTAATAGGATCAGTATGGCACTGAGCCACTCATACCAACCCTCCTGGGACATCACGAGTTGCATGTAGCGTTTCGGATCCATCCTGGCAGATACTTTTTTGAGATACTGTACACAGTATATAGACAGTGCAGGTAAACAGTTTAGCATGTATATGGGCAACGCATGTATACGGTGTATTGTACATACCTGTAGACCGTGGGGTATAGAGTTTTCAGTGCAGGTATACAACAATAGTAAAAACTAAGGCAGATTGACTAAGAATAACCAACAAAGCCATCAGAAGCTTATTTCCAGTAGAATCCTTTCCTTAGGTTTGGTTATTAATAAGTAGTAGTATATCTACAGGAATAAAGCGAAAGGTTGATAAATATAACAAGCATGACATTATGCTTGAAGTGTCCGAGGCTGATGGATCATTTAAAAAATACACCATTACGTGGTTAATGAATATAAAAACTCCGCTCTTCTCTTGCTGTTTTGGTATCTGTGTGTGACCAACTGCTAGAGGTACATCGCGTAAAAAATGGTTGTCTCTGCAGATGTGCCCAGTCTACCTGGGGTTATAAGTGTGGCGACAGCTCCGATATCACCCAACCCCATCAGTGGCATCTACTGTAAGACCTTCCTACCCAAACTGGTCTCCTCAGGTGGGTCGCTGTCACCTGTTTTGTTCATGCGAGGAAATTTTTTTACAGATTCCCTTTAATATTCACAGTATGTTAGTGAACGGATCCTTCTTTCGCATTAGCTTTGATTACACACACACACACACACACACATTATATATATATATATATATATATATATATATATATATATATATATATATATATATATATATATATATATATATATATATATATATATACACATACATACACACTGTTCCTCAGTAATTTAGACAACATGGCCCAGTTTTGGGTTCAGAATTAGTACATTCATTGCCCCCAGAGATTACTTTGCTTTGCTACCTGCTTGTACAGTACACTATGGTAGTGGATCCCATGTTTACGTCGTATGAGGCATTTTCCTACAGGTAAAAGTACTAATCTGACCTTAGATAGCTACTGTGTTATTGTACCTCTTGGCCACTGTTGTCATTATATCAGTAGGCTGCTGTATCTCTCACTGCTCCTGGTGTGCCGGCAGGAGGAGTGTGTGGGCGGGCAGTATGGGAGTCACCAGAGGAGACTGTCGACCGTCTCAACGCCTGGGTGGCCGCCTCTCGAGCCACCCTCCTCAACCTCCACACCCGTTACGTCTACACCCGAGGTAATGCTACACCCGTTACGTCTACATCTACACTACATCTATAACACACTCAAGATGACACCCATTACAAACCCTTTACACCACCGCACACCCTTCACACCACCACCACCACACACCCTTCACACCACCAACATTACACACTCTTCACCCACTTCTACAGCCACACACCTTATCAGAGTCTACTCCGAAGAAGTAAAACCTCAGATATCCAGAATTCATGAGGAATTGAGTGTGTCGGATAATTTTTTTTTTCCGGATGCTTGAGTTACTCTTATTCTTACCATCTCAAACTCAACATCATCGTCATAGTAAATATTAAAAAGGAATAAACAAAAGGACATGGTAAATATATCTATCTTCTGCTTTAGAGTGAGCACAACGCGTTTGTGGTTTGTTGTAGCTCCTGGATGGATGAGGTGGTGATAACGGTTACATCAATACAAACATTCAAGTAAGCGGAACTATAATCAGTATAATGGTGGCGGCCAGTGTGTTATGGAGGACGCACACAGGACCTCTAGTAGCCACAAATGGAACCATGGGCAAAGCGGCTCCAAATTCAAGCCAATTTTCTTGACTTTTTAAATGTGATTGGATATTACTTACTGGAAATTGACTCCACCAAAAATTCCGGATATCTGAGATTACACTAGAACTGCATCAGGATCCTTTTAACTATTTGTTCTTTTCCTTACATGTGTGGACCAGAGTGTAACAATTACCTCTCAAGTCAGTACTGCCAGACGGCTGGTGTAGGTGTTCTCTACTCACAATCAACCTTTATGTTTATCATTATTTAGCTCTCTCTCTCTCTCTCTCTCGGAAATTCCGTCATGCTAAACAGTTATAAATAAAAATACTCAAAATGGCGTTTTTCAAAGCAACTTTTTTTAACCTTAGCCCTGTGTGTGTTTGTGTGTTTCACCTACTTATTATATATACACAATGATAGTTTGTATAATGTTTATCTTGTGTGTGGCGGTGTAGGTCGGTCTGAAGTGGACCCGGAGGTAGCGCGGTGGGTGCGGTACCGGGTAAATGGAGGACATGTGGCCGTGTATCACCTGGTGCTGAGGGGCGGCCGCTCCCCGCCCACCATCCCGCCCAACCCTCCTGAACCAACTTCCTCCTGCGTCATCCTTTAAGACCCAGCTGATATAGTGACCACCACAGGACCAACCGGTGTAGTGACTACCACAGAACCAGCCGGTGTAGTGACCACAGGACCAGCCGGTGTAGTGACCACCACAGGACCAGCCGGTGTAGTGACCACCACAGAACCAGCCGGTGTAGTGACAACCACAGGACCAGCCGGTGTAGTGACCACCACAGGACCAGCCGGTGTAGTGACCACCACAGGACCAGGTGGTGTAGTGACCACCACAGGACCAGCCGGTGTAGTGACCACCACAGGACCAGCCGGTGTAGTGACCACCACAGGACCACTGGTGTAGTGACCACCACAGGACCAGCCGGTGTAGTGACCACCACAGGACCAGCTGGTGTAGTGACAACATACGAACTACACATTTACAGTAACATCATGATAATGATTATTGTGTAGTGTTCTTGGAAATGTTATTAAACTATTGTATATATCTATTGCGAGGTGCAGCAGTGTCCTTCACCATGGTCACTGTTACACCAGCAAGGCTGTGAATGGTATTACACACACACACACACATACTCCTAATAATCCAGTAATGTATAATATTTACAATATTTTTGTCTTCTCAATGTGATATTCAAATCTCTCTTCTTCATCAACCATATTAATGATACGAAATCGGCATGTGCACCTGTGACAACCGGGGTACCACATGACAGTGTATTGGGCCCGTTGTGTTTGTTTACTTCATAAATGACATGCCAGAAGCTATATTGACATAGTGCACGATGTTAACATTTACCAGGAACTTTACCGAATTTAACAAAATATTAACATTGACTGGCATTTACTGGGAATTTGGGAACATTTCATTCCAATGCAGATCTGATAATCATAAAGTTTGTTTAATAAGAAAAACTCTTATGTATACAACGTTTATAAATATACAGTGTTTAGAGGGCCAAAGAGTTCTTCCCGTATATCATTTATGTATGTTTTGAGTGGGCCCAGTGTGTATACTGCCTCACCTACTGGCCTGGCTATAGTGATGAACTGTGTCTGTTCTTGATTTACTTTATTCTATATTAAGTGTCATCTGACTTTAGTCATAGTTTATCTCGGTTCTCTTGTTTTGTCAGGATTAATAGTAAAATATCTACAGTGTATGGTGATGTGTAATTTCCAATGTATAACAAATCATGATTTTATCTCTAAAATAAAGTCAGGTATTTTACCATTCAAGATTGAATGTACAAGACCATACAAATATATATTATGAAAACTGAATAATGAGCTTATTTATTATCTTCTGAAGATCTACTGCGGCTGAAAAAAGAAAAGAAATTTCTGATGGGGGTAAGTCATTGTGGTACGTACTAATTTTGAGATCTTCTAGCGTAGTGTATGTGGCCAGTTGTCAAATTTCTCTTTGTTAGGCTCACATACATGTAGGAGATCTCGCACTGAGGATCGAGGTGAGAAGGGAAACTCACAATGGTGTTTTCTATATATATATATATATATATATATATATATATATATATATATATATATATATATATATATATATATATATATATATATATACAGTGCCAGGGAGTTGCTGTGTGGTGAGGAGCTTGTTGAGAGGAGATCTTGTCTGTTTGAGAGCGTTGAGTAGAATGACCTTCGATGATGATGATGATGATGATAATGAAGAAAAGTGGCAAATAACCTTGCCCTGGGAGAGGAGAGGAGAGTGAGAAGGAAAGCATAGAAACGGGAAGTAAAGTAGTAACGGGTGATAGCATGTGGGCTGTCCACCTAGCTGAGACGAGTTGATTTGTTGGGGTGGTGGCCACACACAGCAGACGCCCGCCCGCAGGTGGAGGGGGGCGGGAGCTAAGCTAGCTAGGCATTCATTGGTGTAATGGGTGTTAATTTATGTTTGTTAGATGGTGGTGTTATTTGTTCACACATATATGTGTAAAGTGGGTCTGGTTCTTTTATGTTAGCATGGAGGCTCTTGGGCCACCAGCTGTGTCTTGTGTTCTTGTGGTTTCTTCTTTAACTGGGAGAAGATTGGGTCCTCCAACTCTTCAAGTTTGTTCCAAACTCTCTGAGCTTGGCTGTGTGTACGTGTGTTCAGTGGTTCGATATTGTATAGTTCGTGAAGTTCTTGTATGTTGGTGGTGTATGGGGGGAGTTGCTTTGATGCTCTACGGTATTGGTGGATACTCCAGGTGGGGGCGGACAAGTGCTTTGAATAGGTGAAGTTGAATTTTGGTGTCCATTTTGCTAAATCTTCGTAGTTTTGTGAGTTGTGATTGTGCAAACGTTTTGCGTTGTGTTGTGTGTGTTGCTATGCCTGTTCTTGTTATTGTGAGTCCCAGAATTTTGCCTTCGTTGGAGTATTGTATAGGTACATTGTTGACTGATTGGTGCTTGGCTTATTTGGGCAATGTGTATGATCTTTAGTTTCTATGTATTGGTTTGTATTTTCCATTTTTTTTCCTATTCGTTGATTTGCTCGATGGCGTGGGCTGTTTTTCGTGTCATCATCTGTTTGCCCTTGCCTGGATGCCGGATAATTTGGGTGAAGTCATCAGCATACAGTAAGCTATGTATTCTCCGTGTACGAGGTGGCATGTCCGCCTTGTATATTGTGTAACCGCAGGGGTGTCAAACTCATTTGCCAAGGCGGGTCAGATTTAATATGAGTACACAGTATGCGGGCCAAGTAACATAATTATGAGCACTTCGCCATCCCCTCTTAGTGAGTAGTACGACAAAATAAGAAAGGTGGATTTAGTCTGCCCTCGTGGGAAACCCTTACAAACAAACAAATCAAGTGTTTACTGACCTTGATCAATCTTATTATTTGCTACTGCTGCTTCCTGATAATTGGCCTCTTGGTATGGACCAGTGCATCAAAGTTTGGCATACACACACAGGTATGTTCACACACACACACACACATACACACACACACATATGCGTCTTTCAGCCATAATTCATCCTATCATGTCAAAGCCACATGACAGACACACAACCCTCAGACACTCAGAGGTCACGGGTCCTTAACTGGTTGTTATCATATACACATAAAACAGGCTCTATCTCCTGCAACGGCAGTGTATGACGAACTACTAAGTCGCCAACCATGTCAGAGACGAATTTACAGTCAAACTAAAGAGGGTAAACAAGAGCGAAATATTATATCCTGCAAGTCGACAAAACGCAAAAAAAAAAAAAAACAGTCTCAAACATTGCCCTTTTGCCAGTTGATATAATTATGCTGTCTGTGTACCGTATAGAACAACGGGAGCCTTAAACACCTCGGAGAAAGTTACTCAGTCCAGTGTTCATACCTGGACTCCTGGAGATGCCGGATGACCGCCCTGCATCATATGAAGGACCTCCCCACCAGGTCGCACTAAAGAGGAAACTCTTCAGATAGGTGCGCTTGGGGGAGGGAGGTGGATCACCGTGACCCGGCACTCGGGTCATGCGGTCAGTTAGGTATTAGCCTCTAACCTAATGTAGAGGTAAGGTAAAGAGCAGCTGTTTCTGACCCACCATCTTGTGTACCCTCAGGCTTAGCACCAAAAGGGTTTCACACAATATTATGTCCTACCGGAACACCCTCAGTAAAGCTGGTGCAACCTACTGTGTATATTTTCACAGTACTTGAGGTATCATCAGTCCATATAGTATGTGGACTTACACACACACACACATACACACACACATATATATATATATATATATATATATATATATATATATATATATATATATATATATATATATATATATATATATGTGTGTGTGTGTGTAGTCTATTGGCGGGTGGCCAGTTGGATTCATTCATTTTCATTGAAGTAATTATTAAATATACTTAGACAGCGACATCTGTCCTGTATATTCTGTATATGTGTATGTGACTGACAGTTAATACGTAAGCAAATATCTCCAAACATAACTTCTTTAGTGACCGCTTGACTCTATGAAGACAAATTTAATCTCATAAAGTACGTTACTGGAGCAACGTACGAGTTTGCCCTCCCACTAACTTCTAAGGTGTTTTACACTGGCAGGAGGACAATACACCATCAAAAACCTTAGTTATTGTGTGAACTATAAGAGACAAATCTATTATTCAAATGTCATCACAGAAATATTTATTATAAAATCAGTTTCTGTTGACTAGTATACTGTAGAGGTGTCTTACATTAGAGTATTATTTACCGCTAGAACTCTTCAATGAATATAAATATATCACGTATTTTAAAAGATAATTCAGAATATACACATTTTACCTGAATTTCCTTTATATTTTGTGTAATAATAGAGAGAAGCAGAACAAGGCGCCGCTGAACCTCACTTGTCTCCAGGTTAGTGTTGGTGACGTCACGCGACCAACCGTTTAAATGGCACCTCGTCTATGTTAATATAAATACTTAAATACCAAGTGATTTTCCCCATTAATCGGCACGAATATTGACCTAACAACACCATAAGCAGTTGATAAACCACGTAGTGATTGACCTGAGAATGGAGAAGTGTCAAGGAAAGTCGAGAATAAGAAGAAAATTGAAGTAAAGTGAAGGAGGTAGTCTGCGGTTCACCTGTGCGGACGTTGGGAGAATTGTTTGGTATTCTTAGACACTTTAACGAAAATGGCTGAACTAACACAGCCGTCTATGATGCTTAATGGTGAGTTATGGGCTGTGGGGGCTCTAGAACCACGTGTAGTATGAGAAAAGTGTGTGGATTTTATGGGGGGTAAATGGTGTATATATGTGGTAGTGGTGAGTATAGCCTTGACCAACTGACCAAGAGTAGTCTATTGGTCACCTGCTGCTGCCTGTATCACCTGCCTCCTCTAATATAGGTGAGCTGCATTCTTAAGGTGGTCAGGTGTGAACTCTAGTGCTGTGGAAGGTAAAAGAAACCAAGTTGATGGATGTGTCTGCCACTTATTGATGAGGGAAAGTATATTATGACACATCTGTATAAGTAACAGCTATGTGGTAATGTTAATTGTGTAAATATTGAGGATAATTTTTACAATTTATATTAATTTTTGCATCTTTTGAATAAATTGTGGTAATAGTTTATGAGGGTTACACCAAAACTAGCCATTATAGGACTTTTAACCAAGAGGAAAATTGTATTGTTACCTTGAGAATTTTGTGAATCCAGTATAGACATACTGTATTAAAATTCAGTTATTTCTTCATTCCAATTTCTTACAAACTACTGTATGAAGCAAGTAGGTCACAGCAACAAATACATGTCTTGCAGGAGCCCCTCTGTGATTTCTGGGACTAAAGAAAAACCCTCAATGAATTATGTTAGTACGAGCATACATTACCACTATTCTACTTGAAAATGCCAAACTTGAGTGCCGGTGTGTGTCGGTCAGTGGTTCGTTCTTGCTAAAATACGACAAACTGCTTATAAGAAATGTAATGGATATTTTGCAAAGTCCCGGCTAAGTTCCTACTAACGCTATTTTACTGTTAGTGTGCTTTGATTGGTTAAGTGCAGTACTTTCTGTTTGATATGATGGTGGGTCTGCTCCCTCTCCCCTGCACGCTAAAAGTTAGGTAGGTTTCTTTGGTTGGTTAGGTTAGGTTCTAGTAAATGTCGCCTCTTTTATAATGATGAATGCCAAATGCTGCAAGAGTCACGGTCAAATATAGTTCTCTCGTTGTTCGCCGGTTATGGAAAATCAGCCAGTCAGAGCGCATTTACTGTAAAATGGCATTAGTAGGAACTTACCGGGCACAGCAAAATATCCACTGCCTATAAGAAAAGTGTTTCTTTCTCATTAGGTATCTAACTGAACTTGAAATCATGTTACTAGTCTGTATATCTTAAGATTAATCTGTAACAGAATGAGTACTTTAGTATCAGTGTTAACTGACCACCATTTACTTTTTGTTATAGAACAGATGGTTTTGTCATTCTTAGTTTACTTTTGTCTCTTGGATTTTTTGTTGTTTACTTACTGATACAGTACAGTATGGTGGTTAAAGCTTCCAGGAACACACATATCTAGAAATTAGGAAGAGGATGTGGTATCTGGGTGCTTCATGACCCGTCCTCTATGGGAATGCCACTTAAATATTTTATTTGGTTAATGGCAGATAATTTGATTCCGTACAGAGGGGACCCCATGGCTACACAAGGGATTGAATGAAGACAGAGGAAATGAATTAACCAAAGTTAACCTAGCCTAATGAGCTTGGAAAAAAATGGGAAAGTTTTACTTTAGCTCTTCATTCTTAATACAGTACAGTACTGTACTGCATGAAACAAAATCTTGGTAGGCCTGTAGTTATTGGTTATGTGCTTAATAAACAACACACTCCTCATAATGAACGAAATGAACAATAAAAGATGCATATGTACAGTATTAAAAAAATATGTGGCCAATGCTTCTAAAGTTCAAAGACAAGGTAGTTTGTTAATGTCTCCAAAAGGCAATATATGTCAGTGTGTCAGTGTGTCACATGTTTGATTAAGATTCATCCCAAATTAACTTTGTCATTGTCACAACAGAATTGAACAAATGTACAGTACCAGAAGGTCATGTTTATTGTACAATAGCTACACCATTTTTACAACCTCTGTACTGCAATTCATAAATTTTATAGTAATTTACCATATGTATTAATTTCAGGCAGCATCTCAGTTCAATAGAGTACCAAACAAAGAAAAAACTGCATTAAAAAAAATAAGATGTTCTTAAGATAATTCACTGTATTGTACATAACTGGATAAAGATCAAGAGTGTCAGCCACCCTGTACTGTACACCATAACTGTGCTTCCCTGTTACGGCACCACTTTTCCCCTTATTTTCTCCGAACAAAAATGTGCACTGTACAGTACTACAGTATTAAAAGAAACTAGCTGAATATTCTCATTAGCCCTTGTTATTATATTTTTTTTTTAATTTCCATTGATTTTTATTGATGTTCTCAGTGGTTGTTTGACTTATGTTATCCATCATGTCAAAATCTTCACATGAATCTGATCACCAGCGCAGATGCTTTGTAGAGTGTCATCTGTGGAGTTACCTTGTTTTGACTGGTACAGTACAGTACTGTACTCAATTTGTCATTTTCTTAGCTGTTGTGTTCTACATTAGCTACTATTTATAATCCCTTACTTCTCTTATGTCCTATGACAACATTTGATTGTGTTTTGTCTTGCATTTATCATGATTGTTCTTTTTCATCATTGATGATGAAGCTGAAATTTTTCTCCATTGAACTTCATAGCAATTTCTGTTGCCAGTTGAAGTCTTCATTGGCAATTTATGAAATAGTTTTCCTGTGACCAATGTTTTCAGCTGCTAAGATTTCCTTGCTGATTTTTTATAGCATTGTTGAATGATACTATGAAGCTGCAGTTTGTGTTGTGGATTAGCTCGCTATGTTTAATATGAGAAAAGGGGTTGACAAGAAAGCAAGCCTGGTGCCCTGGGGAGGGGAGGGGGGACATAATTTTTCTTTGACAAATAGAAAATTATACAATTGAGTTATTTTTACCAGCTTAGAAAATAAACTTACAACTGTTTATTGATGTACAGCACAGTACTGAAAATAGATTGCATTATCTACGTAGCTATATACAGTGTACATTGGAAGTACAGTACTATAATACTGGCAATCAGTACAGTATTGAATGTTGTACAAATACTGTACAGTATTTTTATCTTGTTTTGTGTTAAACCAAGTTTTGGCATGGATTGGATGCCATTTTCATATAATGTACAGGTGAAGTACCAGTATTTATTTTGTGTATTCATTGGCTCTGTTTAATGTTTTCAGCAGATGTGACGTCAGTGAGCCAGGCAGATGGAGAGTCAGGTGCTGATTCTCGAATTTGTTTAGTTGGCAGCCTTGCACACGATGTAGAAACTCTAGATGCAGCGAAGGTATGACTAGACCATATTAAGTTCCTGGTATACTGTATCTGTATTGTTTTGAGGGCCACCCAGTCATTGCTGTAGGCCTTCTTAGTGTGTGTTTGTGCGAGAGAAAATCATATTTGCTCTTTTCACTACCGGTAACTGTCATTGTTAAATACAATTTTGTTAGGGTTATTGTAAATACTTTATGGTAGTTTATTCAACAAAAACTGATAATTTGGCATTAATATGTAAATAATATACAGTAATGGTATTTAATTTGCAAATAAAATTCTTGCTATCCTTCACTTTGTATGTTAACCTCACACATGCATAACTAAAAGATGTGGGAAAGTTGTATCATGCTCCGTTAGACTAGAATAAATTATTTATTTATATTATTCATGTCAAGTGATACCATGCTGTTTTAAGACTTCTTTATTGTTAGAATCCTCATGGTGATATTTTCTTTTCCAGAAATTCAATGTTCCTGTTGTTACTTCAGAAACTGGGCTAGAATTTGTATCAGATCTCACTTATTGTACATATTTTATTTTGGCTGATTTTGAGAATGAAGAGTTTGAAGAGCTGAATAAGGCTGGAGTCAGGTATGTTCATTTGATTTTTGTTCTCGTTCAATGATGTAGACAATTATAATATCATGAACACTCACAAAAAAAAATATTTTGCACCCTTGGCTCTGAAACCATTCGCAACGATCACTGCAACAGAAGCCGTGGTGGGTGTTATCCTGGTCCTGTGTGTCATATTGTATAGCCCTATAAAGGTGCAGAATAATCTTTTAGTGAGTGTACCATGTCAGGTGTAACTAATTTTAAAGAGTTGCTGCATAAACAAGTTAACATTGATTTTTAACGTAAATAAACTTCATAAAACTGTATCAGTTTTTAGAGATACTTTTCTTGTCATGTAAAGCTCAAATTAGGAAAAAGTACAGTACAGTGTATAACAAAGGGGAAGGATGTGCAGCACAGTACAGTATTTCAAGATTTTGTAGGTACTGTATATACTGAACACTTGATATACACTATTATTTATTGTTTTATATTATGTTTTTCACTACTTTTGAACTACTGTACTGTATTCTGATTTCCTCTTAATTAGAAAGTTTAGGAATTTGAAAGATTATCCGAAATAAAGTTCATGGACTGTGTGATAACAAAATTAAGAATAAATTTAGGTATTTACATAGATTAATTCAGTATTGTGGACTTTCTATTCTGGTTTATTAATTGAGTGCATAAGGAGTAAAATATAATTAAATTTCATTTGCAGATTACTTGGAAAACCGGCACTAATAAAATATTCTGAAAGTGGAATACCGGTGTTAACGTACACTCGACGTCCAGTCTTCTGTCATGTCATGAAAGATCTTAATTTAGTTTTCACTGGATTCAGAAAAAAGACAGAAGTTGTAAGTATCATTCTTATATTACAGTATTGCAAAAATCAGATAGGAATACTTCAATTAGAGTATGTATACAGTACCCTGGAAACTGTATGTTATGTGAGCATTGTTATTGTGAGAATGTTGGTGCAAACAGGGAGTGTATTGGGGAAGAATTGTGTGGGATCAGAAGAGGAAGAGCATGTTTGGATCAAATGAGGCGCACAGCATTAGAAGGGGGTGAAGCACCACCCTGGGCAAAATGCGTTTTTTGTTGGATATCACTATTTTCACCATTCTTCTACATGTTGGGGTTGGATGTAACCCCCTAGCTAGACTAAAAATATGGTTGACAGTCCTTAAAAAATAGGGTGTCATTCCGCCTCAGGCCAATAGCTACGTATCTGGCTACGTGCTCAGTAAACGAAGGTGGCTACATCCCGTTCAGAGTGAGAGCTAATGACAGCGCGCCTCCCGTGGACCATACCCACTGAGTCAGCCTATCACAATGGATTTCCCATGCTACGTCACAGCTTCTCGGCCAATCTGCACGCCCAGATGCTGCCTCCTTGTTAGTTTTGGTGCGTTGTATAGCATAAGGAGGTTTAGTGTACTTTATACTGCTATTTTTTTTATAAGTTTTTGGCATAATATTGACGTTATTCGTGTTCCACGGGTGTGATAAGTGCTGTGCAATGTCTGCCGGATTTTAGAGCAAGATTCGAGTGAGGCCAGGCCTTCTGGTGAGGGTTCAGGAGCCCTAAATCCAGAGCGTGTGTTTAGTGACGACAGTGCCTGGCGATAGTGATTTTGGTGGTGAATTTAGTGACGATTATGGTGACGCAAGTGCTACTGGCGATGGTGCAGGTGACGTGCATGAGAATGTTGGTGATGTTAGGGAGCCTAGTGGTGTTGGTGGAGCACCACGTGATGCAGATTGCAGGGATCGGGAGCGTACCCCCAAGGCCCTATAGAAAAAAAAGGCAGGATGAGTGGGCACAGGAGGTTGCCATGCGTAAAAGTAATTTGATTATGACGAGGCCATTAAAGTTATACGCACTCCTCAGGATTTATGTAACTTCAACTTACTACGATCTTCGGGGATAATAAAACGAAGGAACTAAATAAAGTAAGAATGTAATACTTTTGTCATAATACTGTTTTTACCAAAGATTATGCAAACTTTCCGCCTTTGTATTCGTATGTTAATTACGTTGGGGAGGTTAATGATGGGGGCATGAGTGTAGTGGTGTTTCTTTATTATTACACACTACTATACTAAACAATGTTATAGATCTTTGGCTTTAATAGGGATGGAAAGATAAATACTGATAGGCAAATGAGTTTTTTATTATTATTTAATATTTTTTTTGGAGGGGGTGTGTAAGACGAGTGCTGTTTTTGGTGATCATAAACTTGTTTTACAGTATTAGTCCACAATAATAAGAACATTTTTGCAGAAAAACGCTATTATTGTTGGTTTGAAGATCAAACAACCATTTACATAACGGTTAGTTATTCTCATTCAGCTCACAATAAAATAATAACTATTCTTTGGACAAACTTCCAGGTTTCACAGTTCACTAAGAGAGGGATTGAGCTGCCCTGTAAAAAAATAACGAACCCTCTAGCTTAAAAACAACAAAGTTGTGGTTGTTTGAACTTCGAAAAACTTTAAACTTATTTTTCTCAGCTTTTTAAATTTGGCGCTTCACCCCGTTCTAATGCTGAGCGCCTCAAATACAGTACTGTACAGTACAGTATTTGTATTAAAGAGCAAGTGTGAAAAATACCTTGAGAAAAGGGTAGGATCTGCTCAAGGTATTATAGACCTGGAATTTTTTTTCGAAAAGATGCTTAGGAAGTAGTGAAAATGTATGGGATAGGAAAAATATTATTGAGTGCTATTCAAATCATTCATTCATTATTATTTTATGGCCATTTTCCCTGCTTGTGAGGGTTAGCCAGGGTTACCTGATGGCAGTTGTTGAGTAAAAACAGAACATGATGTCCCCATCCCCCCTTCTAACCTCTGCAAACCTTGGGCAGCAAAGACCAGAGACAGCTCTGGCGAACTGGTTATCATCAGACTTGTTGAGGCAAATTTTTATGGCTGGTTGCCCTTCCTACTGCCAACCCACAGGCAGGATTGCAACTTCCTGAGGTAATCAAATACTACCTGCGTACTAAGATTTATTAGAACAACGAGAGAAGTAATGAAAATGTATAGAATGAGAGACGATGGAGGGGGTTGAGATATCAAATGAGAAAACTGAGCTTGAACGGTCAAGGAAAGGCAGGGACTAAGGAGTTCTAATTGAATAAAGACAAGGCCCCAGGTACATCCAAAATTTGGGAGTATTATTACAGAAAGCCTGTAGGTACTTCTTGGGAGGAGTAGGCTGTCATTGATTGGCTATATTAGTAAATGGAACAGTGGGTGGCAAATGGAATTGTAGAGTAATTGAAGGAAAGTACTATCATGGGTGCAATATGAAGTGTGTGAAGAGAGAAAATGTGTCAGTGGAGGCAGGTATGGGGATTGATATGTGAATAATTGAGCCAACAATATTGTCGGGGTTTAAAAGAAAGACTGGATTGAGGAAGAAGCAAGATGAAAGCAGCAGAGAGGATTTGCCTGTTATTAAGAAGTGGTGATAAAAGGCAACATCAAATAAAAATAAAGATAGTGAAGTGTTTTTTAATTTGAAAGTAATAATGAAATGAGCTAAATAAACAAGTTTATATAATCATGGTTTTAGCAGAGAAAAATAACATCCCAGCTGAGGTTCTAGAGAGATAGTCAAGGGGAACTTCCTCAAACAACCTAATTGTGAGGGTGATGTTGAAGGGAAAGCATATGGCATCAGGGATAGAATAGATAATTACCAATATATGTATCTAGTTTTTCTTCAGTGTCCTCTATGGCTTTGTAATTTTAAAACAATCCCTTACAATTTGTACCCTGGTAATTTTTTCACTTTTGTCATACAGACAATCTATATCTTTTCACCCCTAGTCACTCTTGACATACTGTGTTTCAATACATTTGTTTTCTAGCTGAAAATCACAAAGTTTTTTTAATATATGCATTTTGTTACAGTCCAGACTACTCAAGTTAGTCCACTACATGGGAGGTAGTGTAAAGAATGAAATTAAAGAGAACGTGACACATCTTCTAGCATACTCCTCAATGGGTGAAAAATATCAGTATGCAGTTACCTTCAACATTCCCGTAATGGGGGAAGACTGGGTCCACGCTGCATGGGCTCACCGTGATGAAGCAGAAGCACGAGCAGATACTGAAGCCATGGTAAATATCGCTGAGGTTTGTTTGAATATTTGTAGGATAATCGTGCTGGTCTCGTTTGACACTTTGAAACTATAGAGGGCCATTTGGTTTATTAAAATGTATGGGGTTAAAGTGATTACATATGGTAATCTGGTTAATTTGACTTGCATCAAAGGAATTGGGGAAGTGGAAAGAATAGTTCCTTTCATTTGTGGTCTGTTCTTTGTTTGGCTTCATTTTTTATTTTCTGCAGTGTCACTTGATAATCTCCCACACATTCACAACTTCCACAATTTACTTCTGTAATTGCGCTTACTTACTTGCAAACTCTTGACTTTTTGCGTTTTCCTCTGTATTGTTCAATGTAACCTTTTCTACCTGTTGCTGAGTTTGCCAGCAGCCAAATCAGCATATAGAATTCTTTAGCATATATTTTAACATATGTATGAGACTTAAAGGTCTCTGAAAGTTTGGGGAAGATGCAGGAGGCACTCCGTCATAGATAAGGAACGAGGCATCAAAGGTGTAGAATTAACAGAGAAAATTAACTACTGGTATATTTACATTTATTGACTTATTACACATTTTTGCACTAAGTAGGATATTGAGTAAATCAGTTAAGTGGGGACTTCACATCACAGAAATACCAATTTTGGTTGTGAGAGTCTCAGTATAGAAAGTGATACTGCCATACTCCAAAACTCATAAGAACACATTGGAATCTTTTAATTACTATAGACTAATGTTACTATGTGTGCATTATATTGTAAAGGATTAGTATCTTTCTTTTCCTTCAGAATGGATAAGGAATTCTCGGTCCACTCATATTATGTTGATTGAATATCCATTTGCTTAGTTCCAGAGGTGTAATAAACCTCTTGGGGTGAAAATTATTATTTAATTTGAAAAAAATAGATGAGAACTGATAAACAACACTAATTGATTAAATCCATGAATAAATGAAACTATTGTAACTAGATTCATGTAATTTTGTCTCTCCCAACAGGCCAAGTACAAATTAAAAGTGTTCCAAAACTTGCGTATTGTGCTAGTAGGGTTCCCAGCTGAGGAGCAGGTGCAAATGGAGGACCTAGTACAACAGAATGGTGGAATACTCACCACTCTTGATGACCAGCTGGCAACGCATGTGGTAAGTGTATTATAGGGCACTTTATTAAATTTGATCTACAAAGACTTAAAATTACATTAGCCGGTACTTTTACCCATTTAATCTTGTTGGTGGTTCCCAGTTGGCATCCAAAAAGTTAGTAGAGCAGCAAGAGTATATCCTGATAACTAGGAATTTTTATGAAACCTGAGATTAAAGAAAGCTTTTCTTTGTGGTTTCTTGTGGTACAGCTGTCATGTTTACAATCATAGGAACCTTGGCTGCTCCCAAAGACTCATCAGCCCCAGAACCCTAACCAGTCTTGAGAAGCTCTTTACATGAGATTTGGTACAAAGATGCCTTATTAGTCGTACTGAAGAGAAGAGACAAATTTGGGATTCAAAGAAAGAAATCATTAATTATTTAAACATTTCAGACAATATTTTCGGTTATTTGTTCATTCAGTTTTGATAGGCACTTGCATAAAGGTAACTTGTTCAAGCTTTTTTTAGAGTTCCATAGATGAACCTTTACCTTTGTTTATGAGTAATACATTAAAAACTGAACAGGGAAAGCATACTGTGTTCACTCACAAATAACTTTAGACGGGGTAATTTTTTATTCAAGAATTCTAAATGATGATTATATTTTAGGATGTGCAATCAACATGAATCTAAAAATGAGTAGGAAAGAAATTTGATCATATCATTGTAAGGAACTTAAGTGGTCTTCACAACAATCAGATTTTAGGGCTCTTGAATAACAAATTTATCTTGTATTTTATGATGTCTTCTCATAACTGTGTCATGGTGAAGATCTGAAGCTGTGAGGTGATCTCCCCCCCATCCCCCTTTTTTTGTCAGTTATACCGTAATTATTAAGTCATACTCCTTGTGTTATTAAAATATCTTATGGACTACCGTATAATTGTTTCCAACTGTTCTTCAGGTATTAGAAGATCAGACTATTACTGAGAAGCCCCCCGATTGTCCATCTAGAGCGCATGTTGTCAAGGCTGAATGGTTTTGGGCCTCAATTCAAATGGAAGCCTGCCCTGATGAGAAGCTTCACCTTTTTGAAGAAATGGTAAGAAAAGAATTTTTATATTTTACTCACACTTATATTGTTGTTGCCTTGACTTGACTAGATTTACTCTCTTAGTTTTCATATTTTTTAACGGCAACATTTGTGCCTGTGTATGTATATGTGACTTTTTCAATTGATTTTTATCTTTATATACTAGTTTTGTTATAATTTATCCTACAAAAAACTTTATTAAACACACAGTAACTAAGATTTCCTCTCTCCAGAATATAAGCAATATCTTAAGTCCTCGTCAGATGTTCTCATCACCAAACACACCAGGTTCACGAAGTCGTCGACGTAAACGCCTAAGAGAGACAGTGCAGCACCTCGCTCAAGATGATTCCCCATCTACCTTACCCTCTGCTCCTCCTGCAAGGTTGGATATATGTTTCTCTAATGTTAATCCTTGATATAAGTATATCTAGATATTCTTTCTTTTATATATAACATTAAGAGGTTTATGGGGATAAACATGCTGTGTGAGTGATAACTGAGGTGCTATATGAAGTGACACTTGTAGACCAGATACTACCGATATTTATAATTGCTATAGAAGGGGAACACCATAGGTGATCACATCTAGTAAGGTAGTTGGAATAAATGACAGCTAATGACAGAAGAGTTCTGTGTTGCTTTTTGATTCTGACCACCTTTCACCCTGACTTTCAGAGATCATTCACACTAAGTGTGACCAGAATATTTAGTAAATACCAGCCAAAGTTCAGTCATCCTGGTATTACAGAATTAACTGGCTTATGTAATTCAAACATTTATGAATAAAGAGAAACACTATAGCTTGACCTACCTAGAAGTTGTATTTATTGTGTAAGTTTGGCTCCAGATACATCATAATTAGGTCAAAACATGTTTTCTCCAGTAAGGATTAAATACCGGTACATTAGGTTGCTGTTTCATGTTGGTGAGTTCACTGGTTACAAAACAATTCATAATAATATACTTGTTTAAAAAAATACTGAATACTTATACTAAAAACAATCTTTAGGGTGGGTACTGGGTATGTTGTTATGTGTTAACTACAAGACTAAGTGTGTATAGCCTATTGTATAGGTTCATTGATCACCTTCATTCAGTGATCCAAGTTTAGATTGTGTTCTTTTTGTTTTTATCTTTATTTTTATTACTATTAATGCTCCAGTGGTGCAAAAGGGAGACAGGTAAGTTCTCCTTCTTATATTAGATGTTTGTGTCGCTATCACCAGAATGTATGTTAAATGATATGTTCTCACAATGTTTTGCTATATAGTACTGAATGTGTTGTAAGTTGCTTCAAATTTGTTAAGGTGCTGCTGGTGCTCATTTCTTTCCCCCTTCATATTAATAAACTCCATAACTTATTTAAGGTACTTACAAATACATGAGTTATCCCTTTGGTTGCCTAGAGCTGAAGGAAATCCACAGTGGACAGACTTGTAGATGGTGTTGTGTTTTGCATTTTATTTCTCTACTGATAGTTCTTGATTGAATTTTTACATTTTAGAATAATAAATAACATTCTTAGTTTTATATATATCTGTACAGTATTGTCATTTTGGTGCATCGTCTAAATGCCACTAGTGCTTAACTGTTGTGTTTGATGTATCAACATTTTGCGGGTGTCACTTAACGCTACATAATTCACTTATCACCAATCTGTAAAGGGCAAAAATTTCTTATCTTGAATTATCATATCAGGAAGGCTGTTAGTCAATAATATGCAGTGGCCATATAAGATCTTTTAAAATTATAATGTAGGTTAAACAATAGTAGAAATTTTTTATTTATTTTTATATTATATTTTTTTCATTATAGTTTGTTGTAAGGCTTGCTAGACTTGTTCCATCACATGTACAGTAGTTAGGAATAGAGTACATATTGTTATATTTACTTTTTGTAAGTAGATTTAATTTATCAGAGAAAATTGTGTCAACTTATACAGGGTATTTATTTTTTGCATTATGTAGTGTAAATCTTAAATGTGTTTTTAATGCGTATGAGAAGAGTAAGCTTCAGTACTGTACTGGTCATTGAGTCACAAGAAGGTGCATGTCAGCAGAGGATCCTTTTTATGAAAATAGGATTCAAGCATAGTACTGTTTACAGAATTCTGTAATACTGTAGAGAGTTAGTTTTTAATTACAGCATTGTAATTAATATACAGGTATCCCTTGTTTAACGATAGGGGTTGAGTTCCTGAAAACCTTATGTTAAGGAAAGTTATCACTAAACGAGGGTGAACAATGGGTCAAACAACAGGGCTGTACACATTGAGGACTGTTCTACTACTAATAAATGTGTTCATTGTAAACGGTATTAATTTAATTGATTTATTTATTAACTTTAAGCTTCTTTATAAACAATGTGGTTAAGAGCTAAGCAGTTTAGTGAGCACAAGATGGGGCTAATTCAAACAAATTTCAAGCAAATTTCATATTGCATCCATCAAAAGTGATAAAAAAATGCTATGATAGACAATAAAATTTATATATACAGTAGTAGATCATAAAATTAAATAGCATATATTATATGTAAAAAAAAAGGTTCCTTCCACACTCAAACCACACAGTTCAGCCGGTCAGTCACCCAGCTGACTCAGAGACGTGTATATGCAATAACGTCTCATCGGGGGGAGGGAGTGCGGTGCCGGCGACGTAGTTAAAAGTATCCCGCTTCCTCCACATACACACCCATACTCTTCATTTTTCTTATTTTATAGATTTATATATTCTTTATTTCTAAGCCACATTAGAGTATAGTAATGATTTTTCAACAACTTTTATACTTTCATTGCATGTAACATTGGCAACCTACCATCTCACAGGTCATCTTATCCCCAGTTTCCCCCCTTCCCAGTACGTCAGACTATCGTTAAACTGAATTTTGATATAAGATTAAGCGAGTAAGTGTGTTACAAATTCTTTTTGATCACTAAAGCTAATTAACGTTACATGAATTAACGCTAAACGAGGGATACCTGTACAGTTATTAAGGTAGAGCCAAAGATTAATTACTCATTTATTAATTACTGTGGTTCACAACCTTTAACCAGGCTGATTATGTTTTTGTTTTTTATTGTGTTATGGATTGAATCATCAGAAGCTCAATTTCTAGAAGTTTTAAGGCACAATAAATTTTGTATGAAAAATCCAGGTTTGTTTAAGGGGGGTAAACCTGCTGGGTTTATGTTTTTAGGCAGTTCCATGAAATGTGCTTGAAGGATAGATATTTCATCAATAATTGATGCCAATAACTTTAATTATTACATAACTTTTCTGGCCTTTATTTCACAGATGAATAAAACTATTTTTAATATTTATTGCTTCATTTAAAAAAAAATACATTGTGTTAAATAGTGTTTCAAGGCTCCTCTAGCAGTTTATGTATAATATGTAGCATTGACAAATACATGTACAGTTTAGTATGGTGTCCATGCTACATTGTAGAATGGTTTCAAGTGCTACATAATTTTTATTTTCACTCAGCTGGGATATCTGGTAATATTCAAGTACCCCAAATGATGGACTGGATGTCTTACTCATGATGATGGTAACACCCTGAAACTTGCCCTTCTAATAGTGTTATCTTTAAATGAGGTGTCTCTAGGGCAAGGTATACTGTATAAGGGAAATCCCTTCAACTCATAGCAAATCAGTCAGTCTTATACAGTGTAAGACAGTCTGTACTCCTAAACCTTGACATTTGGTTTGTGTTTGTCTTCATTCAAGGTGTGTGTTTTACGTAGGAATTGCAATTTTATAAGGAGTGGTGTGGGAGACATCACAAAGGGCATTGGCTTTAACTCTTAGTCTCTCTGAGATGATATACCAGGGTCTTAAGAAAAAGGATGGGTGATGCATTGGCTCTAGCTTCCATGGCTTGTGATCAGAACAAGTAATTTATTGTTTTCCATGCCTAATGACAATAGAATAGTTTTGTCCAGATATGAAGTACTTTATAACATGGCTATAGTTGCATGTTTCTGTTACTTGTGTTAAATGTTCAGGAAACTGAAAAGTGCAATTTAAGACATGTTGATAGATTTGGGAAGTTAAGAAAGCATAGACATGAGTTAATAATCATTGGATATTAAGACAAGGTATTGCTTATTTTTTGCATAGACGTTACAGTACTGCTTTAATGATCTTTCTTTGGGCAGCAAACGAAGATCGTCTGTGGGTGATTTGGCTTTTCTATCAGCCGATGGGTCTCTCCTGGATGACACAGTCTCAACACCTAACAGACTTGCTGGCAGGTCAGTTCCTCAATGACCACATAATTATTTTAAGAGCTCAAAAAATTTATCTTAATCTTCTTATTATTGAACTGATTAATTGTGTTCTTGCCATGTAAGTTACATAACTGACAGTTGGCTAAGTTACACAGGCATGTTAGTATCTACTTATACAGTGTACATTTATACATTTAGTTGTGTTTGGTGTTATTCTTTTATATATTTATTTTTTTGTTAATGGGTTCTAGTATTCAGTACAAACGTTTGCATCATCTGCAATATGAGAACTTGTATAAACCAGTTTACCTGTAACTATTCATCCAACTCTTATATTTTACCATACTGATTATGTAGAAGAGTGCTAGAGCAGGGTGGTGGAAGCACTCTGAATATGTGGCACTTTTTTATTCGTGTGCAAATAATATACCTTGTAACTTGGTCATACACATTACCAGACTTATGGTGCTGACAGAGAGTTTTATAGCATATTATCCTCTGCCAAATGACCCTTGTTGAAGTGCAAGCTATCTTATAAGGTCTAGGGCCATAAATAACTTCCTGACTATGGGGTGATTTTGTGAGTATATAAGTACAGTACTTTTCTATTGAGTTGACAGTTATTAGGCCAACACCCCAGGAGTGTGTGGCTCCATTTGGGGGGTGCAAGTTGTGCAGAGTATTTAGGACCTTTGGTTACCTCCTACTTCCCTCTGTAACTGGCTGTGGTATACAGATTTCCTCAATCCTCCTGTACAGTATGTCCAGTGTGTCACAAATGGAGGACTGATCCAGAAATCTTGTTTTGTAATCAAGGTTGGATCAAGCATCTCAGCATTCTTCCCCCAACCCTTTGGAGTGCTGAGGTGAGCTGGCTATGGGTGTTGGTTTGTGTAGAATGCTTTTATGGCTGGTACCAATAAAATTTGTTAATTGCAATGTCTATTTATTATGCTTAACATTAAAATTCTCAAACCTTCTTCCTCTTTAGGTATCATTTTGTCAAGAGGTGAACCTTTTGGAAACTAGTCTGAAGGTGAAGGTTAATATGATTATTGTATTAGGTTGAGTTTTGGATCCCAATTACATGTTAGGACCTTGGAGTTAGCTTTCATTCTTTAGAGTTACTTAATCCTAACTTAGCTGAAACGTGGGATTTCAGGATTATTATAAATGAGGACTAATCTTGAAATTCTATTTATAATCAGTTATTAGACCAGTTTCTCATCTTCCTCCTTAAATTAAAGAATATGAATGGGAAGGACTGAATCACGTGAGCAAAAATGGAATGGCCGGAAGTCTTGGTTTTTGAAGTTAGGTAGGCGTGAAGGTATGGTTCGGGTAATCACCGTGATCTAGAAATCTATCTGTCTTGAATGAGAGTTGCATTTCCTTGGGAAAACCTTTTTCTTTTATAAATGAGACACCTTTGTAGTGAAAGGATAAAGTAATTTTGAAATCTTGACTGCTATGGTCAAGGCATGATCGGGTGGATATCAGGGATTTGGTGGACTAAAAAAAAACTTTGAAGCTGTTATGATTTATTGATAAAAATGGGTTATAATGGCTGAAGGGATACAACCCTCAGTTTTGGTTAACAAACGACTCTGTGGAACCAATTGTGTTCGTTAATCGAGGGACCACTGTACAATATTAGTTCTTAACAAAAAAATTTATTTGTATTGTTAACATGTACTCTACCCTTACAGTATATCAGAGATTAAATACAGTACTATACTGTATACTATACAGTATAGAGATGTAATGCGGTAGATGTCAAGGAGTACAATCCAGAATGACAGAAGATATAATATTAGTCTCTTCGCTCTAACTCTTTACACACACACACAGTAAAAACCCCGAGTAGTGGACCATCTGAGTAACAACACGTCCGAATAATGACACGAATCTTGAGGAAAAAATATAAAAAAATTGGAACATTTTCTTTGAATATCTTCTGGGTCAATATTATTATGGAGTGACGCTGCATTGATTATGTGGTCCCGCCTGCATCACAAAAACAGTCGTGCTGCACTCGGTCTACACATGGCTAGTACTCAGTGCAGCCGTGCCTGCTCTCTCTCGACATAAATACCACACGTGAGAAAAGTGCCCAAGTAAGTATGTTTGGGTAAGGCCCTTAATGGGCAGAAAATGCCTTACCATGAAGGATAAACTCTTAAGTGCTAGCCAAGATCGACAATAAATGTCCTGTTCCCGAGATAATGCAGAAATTTTTATTTTCTCCGCTGAAAGTGGCTCCCTTACACACCCATATAATCTTAACAACATAACACATGTTGCCACATCTGTGGCCTTGAGATGGCTACACGTTACCACTGATTCATGTAACGAAACTAAAAGTTTTGGGAAATTATTTCAGTACTTTAATGTGATTTAGAAATAAAGGAATGCAATATAAACTATAAATAAGAAAAAATTAAGAGCCGGAATGTGAACGGTATTCGACTATTCATTGTGAAAGGTGAATGTATGTATGGATGCATTACACTCATCCCATGCATATATCAATTCAGCTGAACTCGTCCAATGTCTGCATCATCCATAGGATGTTCGAGGGCAGAAGGTGCTATTTTTGTACATGGAATATGTGCTACGTATTGTATTTTATGATGTCCTATGTACAGTATTATTTTCATTGTTTATTAAAGCATTTTTTGCTCAATTTTAGCATAAAGTATGTAAGGTACAGAATAATGAAGGGTTGGAACCTATTTCATTTTACTCGTTAAATCTATCGTAAGTGTCTATGATAACGAAGTTCCCAAGAACGAAGTGGATTTCATGAACATATCCAGCTCATTGCCAGAGGTATACTGTACACATTTACATCATCCACTTTATCTCTCACTGCACAAGGCTAAACATCCCTACGTCCAGACTTAGAAACCTTAAACAAATTCTTTGTGGCTTTAAAAGCTTCTAGACTCTAGAACCTTACCTACATCTATTAACATTTTAAATAAAAGACAACCAACTTTACTGAAAGTATATCATAAGTATGATTATTTTACTAAAGGGATTTTGTCTGATTAATGACATCGCTGTGGCTTAATCAGTCCAGTTCTCAGGGTTTTTATTGTATGGTGTGTTATGTTTTTGTGGAAATTTTCTTTAGTTTGCATAAAAGGTAATTATTGAAGTTTGCTCATTATTTATGTTTATTTTTCTTGCTTTGCAGGTGTTACAATGAACTAGACGGGTAAGGAAAAATAAAGTGATTAGGTTTGTGAGGGAGTTTGTGATATACCGGTGTTGATGAGGGACTTGAGAGATGCTGTACAGGTGCAGACAATATCCTCGACACTCTTGGCTGTATGTGACATCTATAGTCTTTCTTCTTTTTCTTTAGCTGATGGTAATAGGTTTATTAGCCCTACCCCCTTGCACTTACTTGTAGCTCATTGGCTCATACATAATATTCGATTAATATTGATTTATTGCAAATACATCCATATGAAACTGGTAAGGATACCCAATTCTGGTTCACATTAAAGCTGAATTTAATATATCCAAAGATATAACGACTTGAAAGCTTTAACTTTTAATATTGGTGTGGAAAAAAGTTGGAAATAAAGAATATTTACTGTCGAAGTCACAGTCTCACTTTCAGAGAACATATTCTTTTTAAAATGGTCATTATATTCAGTGTTTTATGTTTGGTGTCATTTGTTTTCATATACCTAATAATTAGTAAAAAGAGAAGAAATAGTGGCACATATGTTCTTCGAAAGCCTGAATTTGTTTGTGACTTCCACAGTAAATATTCTTTATTTCATTTTTTTCTTCACTCATATATTGAAACAATATTTTCAAGCAGTTTTGTCTTTATAAACATTAAATTCAGCTTTAATGTGAGCCAGAATTGGGTATTCTTATCATTTTTATATGGATTTATTTGTGATAAATCAATATTAATCGAATATTATGTATGAGCCAAGGAGTTGCTAAAATAAAATACTGCTACTGTATAGTTAAAGGGTATGTAGGTGGGAGGAGATGGGGTTGTATTATCTCTTTACTTTATTCTGACATTTATTTATGCTGTACCTTTAGGTGTGTATTTTTCATAATTCTGACAATATGTATATAAATTGATTATGTATATCAATGACGAGTAGATATCAGATATTACCAAGTGTCGAGGGAATTTTGGTCACGACTACACATGCTTGGGCTGCCCAGGATTACGTTGCATAAGTATGGTACTGTAAGCATTTTTGGACGGGTTACTTGCTTAAATCTTTCACCAGTTTTAAGATCAGTTTTCTTCTTTTAAATTTTCCTCACATTTGCTTACTGTAGTCTTTAAGGTTTGTCTTCCTAATGGTGTATATAGTTTTAAGTTGTGTCTTCCTATAGGTCTGTAGTTTTAAGCTTTATATACAATTTAACCTGTATAACTTATCTACCTTAAAAAGCTGTCTTCAGGTCTCAAACACCCTCTTCGTTCCTCGTAAAATTTTCCCCTTTACTCTTCATTATTTGCATTCCTAACCACACACCATGTTTCAGGAGGCATAGTAAATGGCAACTTTTGTTGTTTGTACATCACTACATCGTAGATTTCACTTATCATTTTTGCGACTTAAATTCTCTAAATACTTTTCCAAGTGACAGGGCTAATCTTGTTCATCACTTACCTCATATATGCACATGCTGATAATTGACACACATCATCTTAGCACATTTGTTCAGCAGGCCTCCACATAACTGTTTTTAGACTGTTGAAACAAACATCACTTTTGCTAACACCCATATCTAATTGTTGTCATATACTGGGGAAATATTAACCTTGTAACTCCTGGATCTTCCAAAACCAACTCATACAACAATGGGTTCTGAACCATTTCTCATTTTTATCCCTAAATCTACACTTTCCCACATTCATGGTCTTAAGTTGGCCATAATAAAAGTACACAGTTTCAGTGAACCAACACAGTTTTGAACTTGCCAAAGTTGCTCTGATAACATGAACTTTCTTTTCTGTACAGGTATTAATTTGTTTATCCATCTCTATTAGCTCCTCATCCTTTATAAGACCTTATCTGCCTTGAGTGGTATATCAATTTTACTCTTTTAGGATTATACTCATGGTTCATTCCTCCTTAGAGCTCCTTGATAAACTTTAGTTATTAGTCACACACATGAATTACCATCTGCACCCCCACTTGCTTGCTTGCTTGTGCTTGTATGATGGTGAAACTGTTCTTAAGCAACTTTCTTTTCTCACATGCCCTGCAGTGCTTCAAAATGTAAGGTATAAAGACATCCAGTATAAAAAAAAATTACATGTACCGTAATTATCTCCTGCAAGATGTTGGCAGGCTCCACTTACAACCTTCTAGGTAAAGAATGTAAAGGAAAATGGTGATGTGTAAATTTAGAAAATTGGCTGTGTGGTGTTAACTGTACGTGTGGTAAGAGATAAAAGGTACAAGTTTTATGTAATGTGAGTCTATTGAAGAATATATATAAAGCCAGACATAAAACTTTATATTAACTGTGTGTCCTTCTCCACAGTGGTGACCAAACTCCCCTTAGTCCCCCAAGTGTTGATCTCCGGCAACTTTCTTCAAGACAGCGTGTATTCCATGAGTTAATCAAGACCGAATGCAATTATGTCAGCATTCTAGATGCAATAGAAAAGGTGTGTTTGGTTTGGAGGTAGACGTGTGTAAATAATGTTTTAAGTTAAATAATTTATCTTTATTGTGTCTTAGAAAATATTTTAATATCCATTCTCTTATGTTATGAACATACAAAGATTTATTAATTTCAACTGTGGAATCCAGATGTACAGTATCCCATGAGGTATTTGTTGATCATTACTTTTTGTTTTTCCTGGTGTGCTGCAGGTTATAAAGGTCCCACTTGAGAACACTGTGCCACCTGGGGGCCCCATGTTAGATTCCCAAGAACTAAGGTATATCTTCGGCAACTTACCCCCAATTCATGAAGTTCATACAAGAATGCGTAATGATCTTCTCCACTTAGCACACAATTGGACTGATGATGCGAGCATTGGAGAAATTATCCTTAGATATGTAAGTATTTTCTTACAGATACTGTACATGTTATGTTTGTACTGCATTGTCTATATGTACAATGACCAATTGATGAAAAATACCATAGATAAAAAGGCCAAGTTTTTAAACCTTTATAGCTACAGTGCGTTTTTTGTCAGTTGAGAAACGATGCCCTGCTCCTTATCAAGACTTACAGCTGATTGGCGGTTTCATCAAATCTGTCAGATTTCGTCCTGAAGTAATGATGTATTTCTAAATGAGTTTATTCATTATTGTTGGGATGACCGTTTCCGACGAGAAAGATGTTTAGCTAAATTTTATAAAGATACATACATTCATTATTTCAAACATAAGTATGTAGGAAGTTTATCAGAAGTATTATAAATGAATTAACTGTTAAACTCGGGTAGCAAATTCACGCTTCCGGAGGATGCATTTAATATATACTTATTTTTTTCCCACAATAAGGCATACTAAGACAAATTACATATCAGTAATACTACATTATACAAAAACTTACATTTTAAACGACCAGAATCACATTGAAATATTACAAGGACGTCAGCAGAGGCAGAAAATATGACTGCGAACATGATATAGATTCTAAATTCATATGAAATAGATTTTTAAATGACCTTCATATATATGGGGTTGCTAATAATGAAGTTGGGAATTAAATGGTGAAAGAAATATATAACATTAAATGTGTTTTCTATTTCTTTTTACAGTCCTGTGACTTAGAGAAAGCTTACCCACCTTTCATCAACTTTTTTGAAAACATGAAAGAGATGTTGCATAAAATTTCATTGGAACGACCAAGGTTTCACGCATTTCTGAAAATTGCCCAAAACAAGCCTGAGTGTGGTCGACAGAGTTTACAAGAGCTTTTAATTCGACCAGTACAAAGATTACCTTCCATGAGTCTCCTTATAAATGGTAAGTATTAATAATTTGTTATATATAAGAGTAGTGAAAGTAATGCAAATTCTTATAAGTGTGCTGCAGTCATAATAATGTTGATGCAAAGGTTTACAACTTCAAATTCATTCTATTTTATAAGTTGCTTGTTGTAACAGTGTTTCTCCTGTCTTATGTTAATTGGTCATATCCATCCTATGATACAGCTGAAATATTACTCAGATTTTACTGCTTAACACTCTTGGGTTTAGGGTCTGGCTGGATACTCACCTCACCAACACATGACTGCACCACATGAGAGATAATTGTGTGTAATAAGTCATAGCAAGCTTACTATTTGAGATAAAACGGTGGGGTGTTGCATTAGTATTTTAAATTCCTGCACATTATCTACAAATAGTATTATATAGGTAATTACAAAATACAATGGTTAAATCTGTAAGTAAACACGAGTATAACACAAATTGTAGTGAATGGCTGCCAATCAAGCTCCCAATTGTGAATATTCCTTGCTCAAAGTTTCAAAATAAATTTTATTTAGTTGGTAAATTTTTGGTTCTAAGTTGATATTTCTCCATCTGTATTATAAATTTTAAGTAGAACTATGACTCCTGTGATTCCCGGGTGATTAAAGAATGGGAAATATCATGCCATCATGTCCTGAAGAAGGTTCTTTAGAATTTATCTCTGAATAACAAATATTAGGAAGATTCTTTTCAACCTAATGGTCATTTTCTAGATTCACAGGGACCGTATATTAGTGCTTATAAATGTGTTATGGAGAGTTGCAAGGCTTCCAGTGAGCTGCACCTTAAGGAAGTGTTTATGTCTATGGATTCTCTTCAATTTAGTTTAATCTTTTGTACAGTAAGAGGTAATACCTGTTTAAAGATCTCTAGACTTGGTGGTAGATTGGAGAATCTTTACATAAAAGTATCTACAGTAGTTTCCTGCATTTTTTACAACCAGAAAAACATTATACAAGAATAAAAAATGATTCAAATAAATCACAAAATATTTTAAGTATAATTTCTACCTAATTTTGTATTAATTTTTTTCATCAGACATATTGAAGCACACTGATAGAACCTCTCCAGACCATACAGCATTGGAGCAAGCCCTGGACAAGATTAAATCTGTGATGACCTTCATCAATGATGATAAGAGGAAGACAGAAGCAAAATTAAAATTATTTGAAATACACAATGACATAGAAATGTGTCCGGTAAGTCTTAACACCTTTATAGAATTGATGGTGATGATGAGGTTGACTGACAGAAGGATTAAATGGGTGTGACACAAGGATACTAATATGCTTGTTGTAGATAGAAAGTTAAGTAGAGAAGAGCATTTTCTTGATAGATGATTCATTCAATATTCTCTCTTTACACAGATATACTTTCAGTGCAGTGTAATGAATGAAGATTTATTTCCTTTATTTTATTTCTTATTTCTATTTATTTACTTTTACTTTTTCTTCATTCTCTAATTCTCTTTTCATATTCTTACTCATTCTTTTGGTAGGTGAAGGAATGGAGCGAGGGAGGAGGAGGAGGTAGGCTAGTGATAGAGGGAGGTGGGGGTTTGCCTGTGGTCCCTCCCCCACACCACTAGAGGGTTGGCCTGGGAGCCAATAGGAAGGGAGAATAAGGAGAGGGGTGGAATAACTGGGGAATAGGGCTAACATGTAACAACTTAAACACAGGGAAAACATGTGATAGTTATGTTGCTACTCATGAGGTCACTGTATACCACAAAGACACTTATGAGGAATTACTCTACTCCATACATGGTTCTTCGCTTATTAACAACGTTATTCAGAATGGACACTTACACATTCAAAACAATTGCCTATCGTCCTAGCTAGCTTCACAATATAACATCACGTAAAGGGAGTTTACCAAAGGGCACACTTACTTATATATCTCACCATGTTGAGCCCACCGACCCACACACTTAAACACCTCCAGACACTGACTCTCTGTTTAATAATCAAGAGCCCTTGCTGCTGGGTATGGAACTCTAGTGTTGAGCTCATCAGTCCAGTTATGCCTATGTATTGTTTTCCTTGTAGTACAGTAAAGGAATACCCCAATTATTGTAAAGGATGCATTCCTAAAAGTCATTGCAAATATCAGGGCAGTTTTCCCCATAAGAATGAGTGTAATTAGGAGTGGTGGATACATTCCCACCTGGCAACTGTCGCCACATATTTTTCAATATACACTTCTGGTTTTAATGGGAGCCTCTGAGAGTGGGAACTTCAGCTTAGTCATTCCATCCTCGGTAACCTTACCTACCATCTTCACAACACATACAGTAAGAATCCCAACTACCAAACCACCCGAGTAACGACACAAATCTTGGAAAAAAATTATTTAAAAATAATAAAAAATATTTTGTGTACGTATCTTGTGGCGAACTGTTAATAGAATTTGTAGCCCCGCCCTCCCCTTTTGTATTCACCCCCAGCCTTCCCTACCCCCTCTGCCCTTCCTTGCTTTCCAACTCAATGTTATAAGAGTGTTGTAAATTGTTTGTTGTGTATCACAGTTCTTTGCTACAAATTGTATTTTCTTTTTCAGGAGATTTAATAGTCAACCCCTCTGTGGGAATCAATTCCCACCTTTATCCTCCAGGTCCTTGAAGCACCATAGTAGTAATCTTGTGAGTTATCGGACTTGGAATAACAATCCAATGTGGTATATGTAAATAATTTGCTAATTAATGATTTAATTAGCTAGTTAGGTCAGGGAAATGATTACGTGGAGTGTACAAAAATTAGTGGTAAAAACACTATTTGGCACCCACAAGACGGATTACTTCACGGGAAGTAGTGCGGTATTCCGCTCTCTATTGATCACGTTAATATCGCTTAATTTACACGATATCGGTGGCGGTAGTTCACTAAAAATGTAAATATGTATTTCTATTAAGAAATGGTGTTGTAAAGAAAAATAATAATGAATATTTAGTTCTTGCTTATGTATCACTGCGTGATTGGGTCACGCAATTGTACAAGGCGGTAGAAATCCATTATCATTTCACACTTCATGGAAGGCAGACGCAACTCTCCAAAATCTAGCAGACAGCCGGCACCACCAAGGATATTCTAGCTTCTCAGTTCCTCCAAGACTCTACGACTCATAGCAGCCCCTAAAATAATAGCTAAATGCCTTTTTAAAGTTTAGGTGATCACTTATTCTTGGGTACCACTATTTTAAGCGTACGGGGCTGGCTTAGGTAAGTATATTTTTATTTTTATTAGATTTTAATAACTTAGATTTAATATCTACATCCTCAGATGAGAGATCCCTGGAGGAGTGAGTTGACATAGATAAAAGATTTGTGACTGATTTAAAGTTCTAAAGATTATTTTGACTATGTCTTTCTCTTTTAGGATACAAATTGAATCGCTATATTTATACTGAGAATTCTTGCAGCCAAACCTGGTAGCATCTCATCGCATGTATATGAGCAAAGTGGATGTGACCGAACTAAGTGACTGCTGTAGTGGGCGAGGGGACACGCTCACCCTTTTCCTGTTCAATGATGTCCTAGAGGTAAGTAAGGGTAGCTTTTAGGTTAAGTGAGAATGATATTATGTATAGCTTCAATTAGTTACCTAAATTTAGCTTGTCTTAGCTGTACACCGATAATACTGTACTGTACACACCTATCCAACTTCTGTTTAGCTGTTAAATTGTGGTGCTGAGAAGAAAAAGAGACACCCATTTTAGAATTTCTATGTAATATTTTCGCCTTTTCGACGTACGACCACTTCGACTTACGACCTGGTCGTCGGGACGGAACCCCGTTATAAATCGAGGAGAGACTGTATATGTTTTAAGTAACGTTATTTAATGTTAATCAATGGAACAATAGAAGTAGCTAACCACTAATGGCAAAGAAAAAAAAAGAGATGGGTTGGGAACGCCAACATATACTGTACGTGCGCATTTAAGGATACCGCGTCATTTATCTTTTTAAGAATACAGTGGTCCCTCGGTTAATGAGCACAATTCGTTCCAGAAGGTTGCTCGTTAACCGAAACCATTGTTTCAATGGGTTTTTGGGTAATTGGTTCCAGCTCACTGAAAATTACATACAAACTAAAAATAAATGCAGTAAAGTATGTACACTTACTTTGAGGTGTGCATGTAGAAGGCTCCTGGTTGATGATGATGATGGGAATTAGAATGGGGGTGGAGGAGAAGGGAAAAGAGATGGCATTGGGGTGGAAGAGAAGTCACCCCATGCTGCCATTTCACCCATAAAATTTTAGTTCACTTGGAGTAATTCCTTGTGGTTATCAGCATATACCTGGATCACGTGCACCTACAGTGATTTACTTGTGTGTGTGTGTATATATATATATATATATATATATATATATTTCATTTTTTTTCAGAATCAGACGACCCTCTTTTTTTTTCTTCCTTTATTCACTATTTTGTAGATGTGATAAAGTAATATGTAAAGATTATACTTAGCCAGTTATTTTTTCTTGTTAAGAGATGGATGATTGGATACAGTTATGTAATACTGTACTTGTGGTTATATACTAGTGTAACTTTTTTGTGGTATTTCCAGATATGTAAAAAGAAGAGTAAATACAACAGTATCAAGAGTCCCAGTAGAGCCAACCTGCACGCTCTTAAAACCATCAAAACGTATAAACATCTTGAAATGATGAACTTAGCACACATCAAGAGAATTGTTGATATTCGGGAAACTGAAGGTTTGTATATAAAGGTTTATTACTGTATATTTGTTAATCAGAATACAGTAAGACCTCAAATATCCGGAATGCTTGGTGAGTTGAGTGTGCCGATAACCGTTTTTTCCGGATGCTTGAGAGTTACTCATGTATATGAGCAAAGTGAATGTGACAGAACTAAGTGACTGCTGTAGTGGGCGAGGTGACACGCTCACCCTTTACCTGTTCAATGATGTCCTAGAGGAATAAAAGGATATCGTCAATATATTATAAAAGGGCTGTACATCTTCGTCACATACCACGCAGTGGTGTGTGTAATCCTGTTGTACGGGAGCATATAATGTTACTTGTTGACCTTGAGTAAATACGGGGACAGTAATCACATAGTTCACTACTCTTTCAGGCTTGTAAAGTTCCTTAATCACTAAAGTTCCTTACGATTACACTGAAAACTGGTTTTTCTTCATTAAAGGTACGTTAATGATGGTGCTCAGTATGTTGTTTGGCTAACATGGAGGATGCACAGCCTCTAGTAGCCACAAATGGAACCAGGGCGAAACGGCGCCAAATTCAAACTTATTTTATTTATTTTTTATATGTGATTAGACATTACTAACTGGAAACTGACCCCACCCACAAAATGCCAGTTGCTTGAGAGTTCCGGGTGGTTATACTGTACTTGTATTGTAGATAGTGCAGTCATTGGTTGTTTATTCTTGTCAAGTTCAAGTGGAGTGCAGTGAAGAGGGAGCATGGTGCTCACCCATCTCGAGAGTTGGTAGTTGGAGAGGGAGAACTTTGTTAATAGAGGCAAATGATGGAGTTGTCATAGGGAATTGTTGAGATAAAGTTATCTTATAGGTGAGAGATCTTGGTAACTAGGAAAGATGGGTAAACATGAAACCCCTGATGTACACAGAGTAAGCAAATTGGAAGTTACAGAAATTTTATGTTTGAGAGCAATACATTGGTTGAATAAGAAGCAAAGCTTAAGAATCATGAATATTAGAAGGAAATGTGCTCAGGAGATGCAGATACATTGAAATAATGTAATATGAAAATGATTATTAAAAAAAGGGAGTTTGACAGAGAGAGAGAGAGAGAGAGGAGGTATAAAGATAAGGTGAGGGAAGCATTAAATAGGCATCATGTATCTCGTTTAATATCTTTTTATATTCCATTTCTCTTTCAGTCTTCTCTGACAACTACATTTTTCACGCACTTTTCTTAATACAGCCACTCCCTGGGTTACGGAATTCCGACTTTACAGATACTCTCATAAGTCCTGTTTAAAATGAGAGCCAAGTAATTGTCGGGCCGAGCGAGAATATATCCAACTATTCCCCGCCTGTTAGGTCTATGTTCTGTTCTTGTTATTTTTTAACTTGTAATTTTAGGTAGACACAGTTATCCCTCCATATTTGTGAATTCACTTATTCGTGAAATTTTTTGACCAACTGTAGGAAGATGTGCATCTCTCGCACGCACTCCATGGTTAGTCAGTTCTCTCAGTGTGCCACACCGTTCTCCCCCTCTCACTCCACCCAGTACATGGATGTGGGAAGGGACGGTGCTGTATTTTGGGTATAAGGTGCTATACATTGCACCACAGAGAAGCTAGGGCACCAGAATTATTATTCAGCACCCTGGTAAAATTTGGTTCCTGTGGTACTTACCCAGTAACACCCAACAACCTCCCCCCCATTCATGTCAGGCTACTGTAGGCAGAATGTCTCCACCTTTATATGTGTCCAATGTCGTAGACTTTATTTGATCTATAGTGTAATTCCTTTTATCCAAATTCCAACTATCTGAGTCTTCCAGGTACCCCAGCTTTGTCCCTTTTAGGTCCTCTTCAGTAAAAATTCTAATTTAGTTCAACAATCTGAACGCAACTGAAGTCATACATACACAAGTCTACTACAAGTAGCGCTATAACTGCTATGATAAACAATAACATTGACACATGGGAGGTCTATGCTAATCGCCAACTGCCGTTTAAGTTCCTTCCACACATCAATCCGTCACTAAGTAATCCACCATTGGAAGTGAAATGTACTGAGACTACGACCTAGTTAGGGGGCGTGACTTAAGGTATGTAATTATGTCTGGCTGTCTTCAGCAGATGGAAGGAAGTTGAAGTAGCTACAGGGACAGTCTAACTTGGTGACTTGCCAAGTCCACACAAAGTTCTTTTGTTCTTTATCTGATGACATTTTCATCAAACAAAATAAATCTCAATCAATCATCCCAGGTTCATTTGTGATTCTTTGTAAATTTATGACTGTAATAATTTCCTTTGCAGATTGTCATAATGTTTTTGCTCTGATCGTCCGGAGTAACCAGGAGTTAAAGGAACGCCTCTTCACGTTTACCCTCTTACCAGATGATACTACCAAATCAACTTTCCTCAAGACATTATGTCGAACTGTTGCAAATATTGCCTGTAGAAATGATGTGGTAAGTATTGTGAAGAGAATTTTAATTTGTCGTGCCCAAAAGATTTTCATATAAATTTTGTTTAAGATATTCCGGAGTAAATAAAATGAGGATAGTATGCATGCGTCAAGGACTGAAAACATTTAAGTTAGTTTCAGCCAGATGCTTTATCAACCCTAATGACACCTTACCTGCCAAAAACTCACTTGGTCATTCTGAAATTTAGTTCACATATTGATAATATACAGTGCAGAAATTATTATAAAATATGAGGAAGGCATTAGAGCCAATGCACTCTGTAAAGAATATGGCATGTCATCATCGACTGCCTCTACAATCAGCTGTTTGATATGTAAACAAAGCTGCCGGTAATACGACATACACACCTAAAAGTAAATTAAAATATAGTATTTTATTGTTTTTTATTTATTATTGTACAGTATACTGTACAGTACAGTGCTGTATTTAGTTTATATTTAATGTTTTGTTATTTCTATTTCTGGTATACAGTACTTTGTATGTACTTTTTCTGTGAGTTGGAACCAATTACCCAATTTCCCATTGAAATAATAGATTCGGTTAACGAACGACTCTGTGGAACCAATTGTGTTCGTTAATCGAGGGGCCACTGTACTGTACATCTTATTTTATATTATAACATAAAATTTTATGTGATTAACTGAAGTGTACTCCTTTCCACTCCTCATCTTTTATCACCCACACCTTTCTGTTTTCTCACTATATATTTTAAAATGTTATGTAATGAAATGTTGAAGGAATACAACATTGTTCATTTATACTTACACTCAATTTTGTAGGTAGATATTAGCTGTTCAGTAGCATCTGGCAGTGATGCAGGTGCAGTGTTACCAAAGAAACTGAGAGATACATCACCACTTACAACAGTCTCTCTCACCACCGCCCCGTCATCACCACTACCTCTATTATCACCACCTAAATCATAATTTCAGTGATACAGAGATGGATCAGTTTCAGTTATGTCACGTAATGATGAATGGATACAACGTTGCTCATTTATGTTGTACAATACTTACACTCAGTTTTGTGGGTAGATATTAGCTTTTCACTAGTAACTGGCAGTGCTGCAGACTGTACAGTGTTACCAAAGAAACAGATAGATGCATCACCTCCTTACCAGTCTCCCTCACCACCATCACCACCTTAATCATAATTTCAGAGATGCAGAGATGTATTAGCTTAGGCCAGAGTAGAACCGTATGACATCCACTGTATCCCGCCTCCCTCCCTCCCACCCACCGACCTACACACTGTCTCACATTCATTCATCAAATGACTGTCATTCATGATAAAATATTGTTTATTTGTTATTAATTAATTAGTAAAGATATATTACTGTAATAATCTGTGTTTATTAATACTGTATTGCACCTGTACCCTTTACATACAATACTGTACAGTATATAATCTCGTAAGTAAAAAATAACGCCATCGGAAATGCATCTCCATACAGTATATGAGGCGCTCCGCATTACAAGGGTGTGAAGCGCCAAATTTAAAAGGCGGAGAAAAGCGTGTTTAAAGTTTTTGAAGTTCAAACAACCATAACTGTTGTTTTTTAAGCTAGGGTTTTTGCAGCTCAATCCTCTCCTAGCGAACAGTGAAACCTGGAAGTTAGTCCTGTGAATAGTTATTATTTTATCGCAAGTTGAATGAGAATAACTACCCGTCATGTATGGTTGTTTGATCTTCAAACCAACAATAATTGCATTTTTCTGCAAAATTTTCTTATTATTGTGGACTAATACTGTAAAACAAGTTAATGATCACCAAAAACACTCGTCTTACACCCCACCCCCCAACGTATTTAACATACGAATACAAAGGCAGAGAAAGTTTGTATAATCTTTGGTAAAAACAATATTATGACAATAGTATTACAATCTTACTTTGTTTAGTTCCTTCGTTTTATTATCCCCGATGATCGTAGCAACTTGAAGTTACGTAAATCCTAAAGAGTGCGTATAACTTTAATGGCCTCGTCATAATCAATCGCTTACTGTTCAAAGTCTTTCTCTGCCCTCTCTAAAAATCGCTCCTCTCACTCTGAACGGGATGTGACCACCTTTTACTTACTTAGCACACAGCGAAATGACACCCTATATTTGAAGGACTTTCAACCATATTTCTAGTCTAACTAGGGAGTTACATCCAACGCCAACATGTAGAGGAAGGGTGAAAATAGTGATATTCATCAAAAAACGCATTTGCCTAGGGTGGCTCATTAGAGCGTTGTTTGGGTAGTGCTCTATTATTCAGGAACATATCTGGGGTATTACTGTATACCTGTATTACTTATGGTACGTACTTATAATGTCCAATAACTAAAATGACTAAAATCGCTAATTTGGAGCTGAATAAGCAAGAGATCACTAAATTAACGCTGTACCACTAGCCACGTAACCCAAGGACTTACCGTGTAAGCTACAACATGTTCACATTTTAACCAATTGCGTAAGCAATAACCGCACATGCAAGACCTACGTAAAATGAGACCCCACTGTACTGTGAAGTTTGAAGTACTGAGACAAAGGAACGGAAAGTTCCACGTGCCAACCTCTCCCATTCCTTATGCCTTGCCCCCATAAAATGTAGAAACTTGAGGTTTGCAATTAGTGCATGTGCCAGTAGTCCAGGATGCACTTTCAATATATTTCCTGTTTTCCAACTTTCAGGAAAATTTCCTCGTTTCTATGGACCCACACCACCTAGACATAGAGACTAGTGATGTTAGCCTTACCACTGCATTAAGTAAAGCTCTAAGGTAAGTTTCATAGATTTGAGGAGATTATTCTTTTTCCCCAAAAGATTATACATGGATTTTTTTTTTAGTGTATGTACATGTTATGCTCAAACATATGTGATAAAGATTTATATATTTTATTTTTCCTGCATCAACTATTGTTACCAAACATGAATTTAAAATTATATATATATCTTTTTTTTCATGATTCCTTGGCGCTCCTATATATTTTCAAATGCCTTAGCCTTTCACAAAATACTTAAAGGACTTAATAATCTTCTACTCTTTCATAATATAATCCATAATACTGTTAGTTAATTTGAACCATTTTGGAGCACCAAATTTAATAGTGACTTCAATTTCATTTGATTGGCACACTGTTGATAATGGTACATACATATCACATGCTACATTTCAGGTTTGCAACTCGGACAGGAAGGAAAGTGAGCAGAGCCTTCAGCTTCAACAAGTCTCCAAGTAAATTAAAAAGAGCCGTCTCCACTGTGATGAGTCCCTTTAATACACTACCACATCAGTCATCTATGAGAGGAGCAACAAGTGTTAACAATCTGGCTGTGAGTACAGTACTGTATTAGGAATAACATATTGAATAGTATTTTGGTGTCTCTTAAGGGGACACAAGTGTTGCCCCCTCCCCCTTTCCCCTCCAAATTATTAGTATTGCATTGTATAAAACACTTGCGGTCAATGTGCTGCATTGTTATGCTTGTTAAGGAACATATTATCTCCATCATTTTTGAAGTCTCGGTCTGTAGATGAAGTGAAAGTACTTCCACCAATTTATTTTAGATTCAGAGCCTCCTTCATTACTTGCTAGAAGTGTAATTTCAAGTTGAAATACAGTACATGTGCTTTGTCATCGTGAGTTTTACTGTATTGTTTTGGGATTGTGTTCCCATGGTTGACAGTCTCAGAACTATATGCCTGAACGGGATGTAGTCTGCTTCAGCTGATATATTTCAGATTGAAATATACTTTGTCTTTGTGCAATATTTGAATGATAGAAGTTGAACTGTCACTTTTTGTGATTTTCTATTGTAGTACAGTATTTCTTTTTATTTTCAAGTCTTTAACTTTGTAGAGTTTTGAGCACTAGTGAATTCTTTAGAAGAACTGGTGCTTTTGAGAAACAAAACACCAGATAGTAGTAGTAATAATGTAAGATATATTGGCTTGGGATGATATTTTCTCATATTACTGTTTTATAATTAATTTTCTGCATTTGCAAAAGATACAAGTATTTGTTTGAGCAAAATACAATACACTATCTTGGTAGAACCTCAACATATTAGTTGCACAGTTCAATTACACATACCGTAGAAATATTTGCTTTTAATATAGGAGATTTATCAAAACAAAGGTAACTTTTAACCTTTGACTTAGCTCTTTATGAGTCTTTCAGAAAATAATTTGACAGATATAACACGTATATTGAGATAGATATACACATATCCCCCTGGATTCACAAGGGTTACATACTTGGAAATCATCGCACATCATGAATTCGTGAATACTGGATTTTAGTACCTTGTGGAAAAAATGGGGTATGGTACCATGGCTACCAAGATTACTATATTTGTCATAATATTTTAGGTTAGAAATGATAAATGTTTCAGAGATGGTGTTGATATTTATACAGAGTAGGTTTTTTATGTAATAAAACAAATAAATTTTAACAAATAATTGTTTTCTCAATGTATAATTCAAGTTTAAGTACTGTATGTAAATAAACACGTAAACAAGTACTTCCCATGGGACATAAATCACTCGGGATATTATAGTCTACCCTAGTAAACCATTTTCTCTAATACAGAGCAAGAGAGTAAAAATTACTTTACTTTAATATGGCTTAGAAATAAGAAAATGTAATATAAAACTATAAAATAAAAAAACTGAAGTGCTTGGGTGTGTATGTGTAGGAAGTGAACTTGTGTGTGAAGGCAGTGAGCACTTGAGCTGTAACTGCGTCTCGACTCACCAGTCGGCAGTTTCCACACACCCGGCTCCTCCCCCAGATGTGACATCACAGCATACTGACACACACACACACACGTCTCAGAGTCAGCTGGTGACTGCCCAGCTGATCTTTGTCACATGATGGCTTCATTTGGCTACATTTGCACTTAGACAACTGGTGAGAGTGGGTCAGTGTTATCACTCTGTAAACAAGGGACAAGGGACAGCTGGGATTGAGTGTGGTATTTATTCGACAATGTTTTATTAACCCGGTGCCAAATGAACCTAAATAATTTGGAAATTATGGTGAACTGCATACTGTTGTTATAAAGGGATCGCAGGAGATGGTGAGTTGTCCTCCCTTCCTCATTCGTTGCCTCTTTTAAAATACTTACTATAATGATAAGAACATCTGTGGAAAAATTAATGAAATTGAACAACTCTTTCTGGTGGAAGTGCTGTTCACAGGAATTACACCTAAAAAATTCTTAGTGCCTCGCGGATAGCTAATTTCGATCGCGAAACTTGAATAAAGGGTCACTAACAATTTGTGACTAAGTGAATTCACAAATACAGTACTCTACAGAGTTTGTGAAAACAAGGATAAGTGTAACTGGGGAACAGGATGCCATTTAAGTTTTTTTTTTGCTGATCAATGAATGTAGAGTGTAAAACTAAAGGTGGGTCCCAAGTGTATGACTGCGATTAGGAGACACAGTGGAAACAGGTTGAATACCAGGGAGGTATCCTGGCTGGCACTGCACTTGACTCTTCACTTCCCCCAACTTTGTAAATTAAGGCAGCATCCTGTAGGGCAGGAGGCAAGCATTATTACCTGTTAATGTGTGATTCTTTGCTTAATGGTTTGATAATTTCTGAGTAATGATTTTGTAGTAAGAGAGGCTGCACAACCTGAGAGCTATCATCAGGTAATGTCAGCTATGAGCTGGCTAACCCATGCAAGCGTGGAAAGTGGAAAATGATCGTAAGAGGTTGATAATGGATTATGTAATGTGCAATTTTGGAAATTAAATCTTCAGAGTTACTTTTAAACTGAAAGAAAGAATATTAAAATTAAAATTTCATCTTCAGCTTCAAAGTTAACAACCCTCTAAAGTTCCAAAGAGTAGGAACAGTCAATTGATGCCCAAGAGCACCTTAGAGATTTTATATTTAAAAGACTTTGAAAGGGAAAGTGAGCCCCACAGGCATAGGTAACTACCCATTACAGACACATCTTCTTCCCTTTTGGGGTATTTCTTGAGGCATATATTTATAAGCTGTTACATTTCATCACTGAGAATCATTTTGCTGAAACACTAAACATTGAAGTGGATACTTTGCCAAGGGTAAGGTGTTACCATCCATGTGGATATGAGTCCCTTCCTTAGATGTGTTATTCGAAGTTACTCCTTGGTGAATATTTTTATATTGGCAAGTAATGGTAAAATCCTAGTTTTTATGTCTGGAGGTTGGTGGAGAGACAGCTTTCTACCCTCATCCTGCATTGTAAACTTCATGTTTGGATTCTGTAAGGTTTATGTTGCTTCCCTAGATTTGTTTTTTTAACTTGTCTCTCAGTTTTAGATTTTTTAAGGATTCACCTGGTGGGCTTAGTTTTGGAACTACAGTATATTATGGTAGCTGTCTGATGACTCCTGCGTCCCATGCAACCGAGAGTGGTTGAGACTGATGGTGGAGATTAGTTTAGATAGCCTTTCCCAAGTGCACCATATCTCTATACTGACCAATACAATACTGGTTCATGGAATCCTGAAGAGAACTCCACTTGACCCATATCCAAGGGACAGTGTTATATCCATGGTGTTGGGGAATATAAACCCAATAGTGGAAGTCCCAGGATAACACTGAAGAACAGTACAGTAAGAGAAAATTGTAGGAGCTGCATTCTTTCTCCCTTTCTTCCCTCGTTCCCCATATTTTTAGTTGAGTTAACTGTCCTAAGATGCATGTCTCTCGTCCTTGGAGCATTTTTAGTGCCTACTCCTCCCACTGTTCTTGCTGGTTTTCAGTGGATGAAAGCTGCCTGACGGAGCACCAAATAGGAAATGAAAGCTTGATCCTGAAATCTTGTTTTCTAGTAGAGCTCAAAACTCAATAGCTTGGATACCCTCCCTCCTCCCTTGAATTCATGGTTAGTTACCTGAAAATTAAACAGAAATGGCAGATTGAACTTGTAATCAAGATGATGGCCTGTAGCAGTGGTGTGTGTGGGTTTTTTCTAGGAGAAATGGGCAATTATATGATCATCCTCCAACTGTCAATGGGGTGCAGTGTGAGAGCCAAGACCCCCAAATTAGATTGCACAATAGAGAGAGCCACCTAGAAACTAGGATTTCAGAATCACTCCTTCATCTTCAGTTTGAGTGTTAAGCATGAAGAATTGCATGCAGCTTAAAATGAGGTCCAGATAGTGAGTCTTTCCTAATATATACTGTCATCTTTACTGCCATGTATCCCTTTTTATAAATTTAACTTTTCCTTGTGATGTGTTTGTTTTAACAAGATCTGAACAATATTGAATACAAATGTTATAAGCAGCAGTGTGGGAAGTTGATGATAATGATGTTGAGTATGAGTATACAGTATATGTGCTTTACTTGTTCTTGATGACTGAACCATATTGCTAAATAAGTTAATTTGGCAGAAGCACAGTACAGTACTGTATTCAATTGTGCATGTACAGTACAGTATATTAATATGAAAAATAACATGAAAGTAGCTAAATAATGATTATGATGGGCTCAATGGTTTTACCATGCTATACATACTTTGTTTTAACACTTAATCAATGATATAACCCTTAACACTTAATCAAAGATATAACCTTTAACACTTAATCAATGATATAACCCTTAATCAAAGATATAACCCTTAACACTTAATCAATGATATAACCCTATTAATGTTAGTCCATGTGTATCTGTAATGCTCTCTTAACTCTGTAGAACTTGCAGTAATTATTTTGGCCTTTGGTCATCTCCACTTTCATGGTTTTGAAGACTCCTTTGTGGGAGTTGGACTGGCTGGGAACGTATCTCATTGAACCCCATGTTATAATGATCCCAATTTACGATATTTAGACTTGTGATGGTATTTTCAGGAACGCAACCCCACCATAAATAGGGAGATACCTATACAGTACTAATTAAACAGATGCTGTTGTCTCGAGCTTGTGAAGCAGGTCAAATGGTGATTTGATGATACAGGGTAGCCTGCTTTGTCCTGTACCGGGTGTACCCTCTACTATAGCAGGTGTTACTGTCACTCTCCTCTCCCTCCATGAAGGAGGGGTTGTATATGCACTGTATACATTAGCATACATTGTACACTCTGCTATATACAGTACTACTTTCTCAGTTACTGAAAGTACACTACACTACATTCATAATTGCAATAATTTTTTATACCTTAACACTGCTTCAAAGGTATTTTTGGCTGATTATATGCTGGTACATTAATATACAGTACTGCACAACACAGATCGCATGCGAAAACAGCAGTGAGCGAGTAAATAAGATTATACAATGGCAGAAGACAATGAACTAGGAGCCAATCATTGGCATCCCAAGAAGGCACATGACAGAAGTAGCCAATCATAACTCATGAGCACTCTAAGTCGACCCACACACATGCTTGGCGTGTGTCAGTGCACGATGCAATCTCTTGGAAATTTGTTGAAATGCCTGGAATGAAGAGAGTTTTCCCAGAATTTCTTGGAATGCTCAAAAATTTTCTCCGAGTAATGGAGAGTTCTTGTTTGTGAACCAATTTCATGTTTTGGAGGTATGATATTGGGGTATTTTTATCATTGGGAAATGGAACCCCATTTTTCTCATTTGTTGTTATTCAAGATATGAATATTCACCTGGGGGGGGGGATAAACTATTTGTACATCAAGGGATACCTGTATACAGTTTATGAGATCGGATTATACATAAGATCTGTATCCACGGTAAGTCTGGAATGATACGACGTCTTCAAAACCATGGAAGTGGAGATGACCAAAGGCCAAAATAATTACTGCAAGTTCTACAGAGTTGAGAGAGCATTACAGATACACATGGACTAACATTAACAGGGTTATATCATTGATTAAGTGTTAAGGGTTATATCATTGATTAAGTGTTAAGGGTTATATCATTGATTAAGTGTTAAGGGTTATATCATTGATTAAGTGTTAAGGGTTATATCTTTGATTAAGTGTTAAGGGTTATATCTTTGATTAAGTGTTAAAACAAAGTGAGTATAGCACCAGGCAGTAGGCAGCCATCAAACAGGGAGGTACTACTGCCTGGGAGGATATTGGAAGCATAATGTGTTGTCTACAGTATGGTAGACCCTGCTGCCACATGTGGTGTCACAGTACCTCGCTCTCTTCTAGGTGGTGTTGTGTTATGTCAGGTGTAAAGCCGACCCCCTGTTGTTCCCAGGGTGGAGAAATTAACACCGTCTGGCTAGAGGATGGTTCCCAGGGGTGCTCATCTCACTGGTGGGTCACTGGTACTGTCTAGTGCTAAATTCACTGGCTTAAACACTGTTCATCATTGTTCAACACTGATCCCACTTCTTTCCGAAACGAAATTGTCACTATTGATTATGTTGATATCCCGGTGGTGAGGATGGGTCGGGGAGAGGGACTTGGGGAATGGGCCGAACATTGGCCAAGGGGGACAGTTGCGCAGCAGGAGCAGCACCTGATTGGTCTTGTTTTTGCCTTCCTCCTTTGTGTATCTAACTGGCTTCAGAATTCATAAGTTTCTTGAGCGATGCATAAGCTCATAAGTGAAGGATTGACCCCAAAACACCATTTCATAGCTCACTTGGAATGTACACTTTGGTAACACCGAAATGAACATGAACTGAGGATTGACCTTATATTGAAATAACCTTCTTCTACTGAGCCAAGTAAAGGCCACAGAATGCACAGCTGGTGCTATGGCAAGTATCTTTACCTTATTACTGGAAGTAGCCATTGATGCACCCCTAGACTTTTTTAGGGATATTATTGTCATTGAAAAGTTTGTATAATCTGCCTCTTGATTTACACAGTACTGTATTTACGTTCTTGAAAATGGCTGCGTAGCTCAAAAATGTATAAATCTAACAAAACTTTCCCATAAGAAATAAAGGAAATGGTGAGGTTAGGAGGAGCAGCCTCAAAATTCATTTGTACATCTGTACCGTATACTGTAGATCCATGTTTCCTTCACTGTATTTTATTTTTCATTTTATTGCATGTACAGTATTTGTTACTCACAATAATAAAGACATTAAAAATTAAAGAATACAGCTAAATTGGCATAAATTAAATGAGCTTTGGCTTGAATCAAGAGCATGGATTTGATCCATGATTAGCATACTCAGCATCTTCTCCGTGGTCAAAGTTCATTCATTTGTGTCACTCACTGAGGTTCCAGACTTAACACTTTCCTCAATATTAAGGGCATTGTTTTGTTCTGTCCGAATGGTACTCTCACTAAGGCTAAGCACCTGACCAACATCAGCTCTAAATGCAGCTTATTATGTTTTATTTCACACCACCAATAGTAATGACTTTTTGCTGCTTCTTGGACTGGGTGGTACCTTTGGATGTAGAGGGGCATTTGCCAGTCATAATAAGGGCCAAAGGTTATGAAACACCACGTGGATAATCACGAGAAAAATAATCACTCCCTCGACAATGGTTACTGGATGCTACTGCGTGGCGCGCACTTTTCCTCCCTCACCCTGTGAGTGTCGTACCTCACTGGCAACGCTGGCTCAGCTATGCTGCCAGCCCCCAGACTGTTTGGTGTGCAATTCAAATCCCATAAATCCAAAAATATATCAATGTAAATTTAAAAAACGGTATAAATACTATGCCAATGTTATTCCAAAAATACATAAATTAAATTTGAGAGGCAACTGTACAGAATCAGTTACTGTAGTTTGTTCCAGCCATCAAGATCAGGGGCCAAGGTTTTCAATCCATAGACATTGGTGTGAGTTGCCCAAACCTGGATCAATTGTGAAATGGTATTTCGGCATCAGTCCCTCATTTCTTTAAAAGTACAGGGGGGTACAAGATATCACAAACTATGCCTTGAACAGATCTTTTATTTTATATGGTCATCATTTGAAAATTTGATTTAGTATTAAGGATGTATAGACTGATATGAAAATTCAGAAAAACAAAAATTTTAAAGAATATTTCATAATGGGAAGATTTCCTGTACTGTATTTGCTTGCCGATACAAAGTAAAGGTCATACTTTCGTCTCCTGTGCATTGAGAGCAAACTTGCTCTGGAACTGTTGCTGTTTTGATGCCCTGTTCTATGGGAATTGTTTTGTGGCTAAATTCTATTCACTTCTACTTCCTAACCATTGACTACTTTTCATTAAAACTGTTTTAAATATGCTTTTGTATTGCTCTAAAATACCATTTAACAATTTCTTACTCTCATATGAAGCACTTCTCCATGCTATTTACCTTGCACTAGCATTGCTAATACTTACCACTTGGCATGCATGTACTAACATAGCTTCTCTTCTCTTTCAGGATTTGTCTCTCACAGGGACTCCTCCCAGTGAGGTCTTTGCTCAGCCCAGGGCCACTCCCACTTCCCGCAGACGCCCCCTCAAACACGTATGATGCATCAGGGGAGGCTAATGTTTGTGCATCCGTGCTTGAAGTTGATGTTATGACAACTGAAGCTTGAAGTTCTGGAGAATATCATTTTCCCTAATAACTATTTAAAAATTTCTATTAAACAAAGCCTTGTCAGTCCCATACATAGAGCAGCTGGCTTATGGCCCTCTTGCTGTAGCCTTTGGTGGGTATGTGGTGCTACATATGTTCATTATAATACTTTCTTCTCAGGCGCACTGAAGACTGCACTGCTGCCTCTTAAACTGGGATAAGGGAACAATGGAGACCTGGATAGAGGACTTGAAGTATCTACCCATTGGGTCTGTTCTGCATAAGCTGTTGGAACTGAAGAAGCAAAACATTAGGTCAACCCCATGCAATATTGTTAAGAGACTTAATGTAATGCCAAATGTACCACAAGTACAATACCAGTGCTATACCAAACATTTTGAATGAATGGACAGTTTTGAAAGCTATTTGAATGGTAACTAGATAATGTAGCAAAGACTCACAGTTGATAATACCAGTAGTACTGTATTCATAAATATGTTTATATATAATATATTAGCAGTATGATATGTATAATATTATTTTATCTTTTTAGCAGAAATGTGAGTAGTAAATTAAGAAGTACAATTAGTACAAACTTGTAAACGTGCACAAGAAAATCAGTTCACAAATTACAAACTCACCAGTTTAACACTGAATCCTTTGGTATATATATTTGTGCCATTAAAAATTTTTGTCAGACAATGTGTTCCAAATTTTATATATGTCTGTCAAAAGGTATCAGGTTGATATCATTGTTAATGATATGAATAAATGATAACCCTTTTTTAAGTACAGTATTAACACCAGAATTTATGCATTACCTGGATAAAGTTGATGCAGTTTTATATGGATACAAAACACTTGGTATACCAATTGCGTTTATGTATCATCCACAGGAAGGCTGCTGAAGCACAAATTGTTTAATAAGTCTCTGAATATTTGCACAGTTTATACAAAGTTAAGTGAATGAAAGGGAAAAACATTCAAATTAGGTCATTTAAGGCTAAACATACTTGTACAGATGTACTGTGTACATTTGATGTGATAACGTGTGAATGATAAATACCTGTACTGCACTGTACTCGGACATCATTTACCAGTTTCGTTTGGTCCTTATTGTGTATTGAAGTTTAATTACTGTATGCCCTAATTTGAGGCAACCCACTTTCTTTGTACACTTTATTAATTTTATTGTGCAAGCAAATGGTGCTGGCTTTAATTGTATGATAGAAAAATTTACTTCCACAGTTCTTCAGCAAATGTTTGGGTGTCTTACACTGCAGACTTTGATATTATTCTTATTATTTTATTTTTATTTTATCATTTTTTTAGGACTTACCTATTTTACTCTGTACTGAATTTTTTATTTTATAATGTGCACCAGGCTCGAGCAACTCAGTTCAGTATACGTAACTAGAAACTGTAGGTGGTTGAAATCCAGGGCCCCAATTTGTGTGATTGTTATATAAATATTGAATAAATTTGAAAATTAGACTATTCTTCATACCGGTGTGAAGCATAAACACTTACACTCCACTCTGCTGCTGTTGGCATTAGCCACAGAAGAATGTTACAAGGAACACACCAGATCCAGTCACCATCACACAGTGAGGACCTACATGCAGCTGAGTTATTTTTATTTCAAGCACTACCTCATGATGATGAATGCTATGCCACAGTCCTAGTTGATAGTCTTTTAGTTAAATGTTTTTAGTAGTGATGCACCTAACATATATCAGCTTATCCTTTATAAGGTAGGGCAATGCCAATTGTGGGATCTGGTTTGACATGGAATTCCAGAAAAGTTGTGAGTTGGGAATTGTACTGTGTATCCTGCCTTGGGTACATCAAATCTACACATAGTTGTGTCTTTTAAGGTTATCAGTACTTCATTATGTGCAGACAGGGTTCAAATTTCCTGTACAATAACAGCAACAAGTATTGCAGGGAAACTTAACGTCAGAGCAAATACTTTGTTTAGGAAGGTATCAATACCCTTTAAGTGGAGGCAAGAACCAGTTACTCTCGGATTTTTTTTTTTTTTTTAACCACCATCCCCTAGTAATTGTTTCTCTTATTCCACTGCAGGACTCGGTGAGGGTGGCTGCATTTTCCATAGCTTGAGTACTGAGGATCCAATTAATCTCCTCTCTCACCCTTATACATCAAGAACTGAGGCATTTCTAAGTCATTACTATTCTAGTGGCTCCTCGCTGGTCCAATTTGATTTGGTTTTACTTGGTTCAATTTTGCCCAAATTCTAGTTCTCCTGACTAGGACTTTGAGTCAGCATGTGGAAAAGTCAAGGTCTTGAGTGCTTGTCCTCAGCTGTATGACATACAGGGCAGTCTTCTAGGGACCATTTTCTTTGGAAGTGCAACAGTTAGCATGCCAGCTTACCCTTATACTGTTTGATCTCAGGGCATCCCAAGCAGTTTCCTTGACAGTCTGGTCATCCCATGTAGGTTAACTTCTTCACTATTTTATTTGGCTAAAGCCAGATGATATTATTCAGAAAAGAGGGGACCCCTTGCACAAGGGGTTAATGGTTTTGAGACTTCAGGCCTCTCACACCATACATTCAAGAGCTGTTTAGACCTTAGGAACCATGGCTCTTAGTAGAATGTTCTGGATATCAGTTTTAGTAAGTCCATCCTCCAGAGAGGGCCTAGGTAGCATCTACTTAAGTTAACAGCTTAACTAGGTCGGCCTCTTGGAACTTTGTTCCTTTCTTACTCTGCAACTGGCCATAGATGGGTATTGTAGGATTGCTCCATTTGGGAATACAAACCAAGGATACCATTAGGAGCTTATTGGTATCTCATGCCTTATGTTTTTATTTGGCTTTATTATTCAGAATTGTTCAGTTCCAGCATATTATAAATTGTGAATTACCATTTTGCAACCAAAATGGGGCCAAGCAATTCACTCCCTCCCTTTTGGATGCCAAAGTGAGCTGGATCTGATTTGTTCTTCCTTATGAAGTTGTTTCATAGCTTATCTTAACTGAAGTGCATCCTGTGTCTCTTTGGTCTTTTCCATTTTTAGGGTATGTACAGTAGCTAAAAAAATTATCTGTGCATACTCGGTGTGAAACAATATGAGACCATGGACGATAGGTATTGGGATATGTATTTTGTCTCCTTATACTATGTGTTAGTAATCACTTAATCGATTATTTTATTCCTGCTCACCCCCCCTGTGTTGCATACTGAATGGTGGTGGGTGAAGACACTCATACGAACCCCCCCGAGACATCACGAGTTGTATGTATAATTCCGGAAGTCATCGGACCCACCCTGTCAGATACTTTTTTTAGCTACTGTACCTTCATCCCAAGGGTTATCTTTATGAAGTCTTCAGGCACATAGTTTGGGCCTTGGGATTTCAACCTCCAAGTTTTATTGGGTGTACAGAGTTGCTCATTGGTAGAATGGCATTTCAAGGTTAAACCATTTTTTTTTTTTTTTTACAATTGCAAGAATTTTGGCATTGGTGTCAGAATGAATCTTTTTACATAGTATCCATATTGAAAGTGGCAGCTGTAATTTAAGGAAACTAATATCATAAAACCTGTTGACATAAGAGACAAGTTAATGTTATTACTTTTTATTTTCTGAGGACTTTTTTCCCCTAAAAAGTGAAATGTAGGAGGGGCTCCTAAGACAATGATCACACTCCAAGTGGACAGTCAAACCATGTGTCTTATATGATGTGGGATGATTGGTATACTGTACTGTATTTAATTGTTACAGTGTAATTTCTTTCAACAAGCTTTAGTATTAGTATCCGCTAGTACCTTGTAATAAGATGTAGTGTATTTTGCATTTCTTTGATGTTAAGATGAATTGGTGTCTCATGGTACAGAAAAGTCTTTGTTGGACACTACATACTTTGAAACTCCTCAGCAAGTTTATGATCTTGTGAAAAAAAAATTATTTATGAAAATGAGAAGCAGAGTAACCAACACATTTCTGAGCATCATATCATGTATAACTATTACAGTACCGGTAGCAAAACTTGAGATTCGTTAATCTTAAAATGGTATCTTATTATGTGTTTTACATTTTCATAATTTGATAGGATAATATAACAATTGTCTGAATGGAACATTTAAAACTAACAATACATAGGATGTTACAGAAATTGAGGTGAGATAGACTACAGTATTTCCACATGAGATGTCCAGTTTTTTGCCCTCTAAGGTCCAATGTTGTGTCAGGATACTTGGCACTAAATGTATCAAAGGTCTCCATCTTCTTGGTTATCTGTCACAAATCTTCATTATCACCATTATCACTCACTTCCCATTGTAGTACTATATTGGAGAATCACAGTTGGAGCATAACATATATGTTTCCAGTTGTTTTGCACATAGTTCATTTTCTACTTCAGCTCTTTATCCAGAGGAGCATTTGGCCAAAATATATCTCTTTGGTAAGTACAGTAGTTACAAATTTGTGTAATTTTTTTTTTTTTTTTTTTACATTTGGCTATAAATAATGTTCCTTATTTATACTGTGACTAAATAGGACTTGAGTTACCTGAAGGTATCTTAGCTCGTGTCAGTTGGTATTATTACTTATTAAGGGATTCACTTGACCATGGCTTCTCTGGTAAGAGGCACTGACCTCATTTTGTACATTATCATCATCCCCTGGGCAACAGATTTACATATATGATTGGTTGCAGATACTTATACCTACTATTAAGATTTTGTTATAACTCCATTACCTTTATGAACTGAAATAGTATTAACTCACAATGTTCCTATTTGCAATGCCTTACAAATTTACTTCTCTCTTTGATTGCCTGAAGACTAGAGGAAATTTACTTTGTTCTGGATGATCTCTAACAATTAGCTTTTTGAGATTAGAAATTGTGTATAAGAGTTAACTGAAATTCTCAGATTAACTTTCAATGTACCAAACATTCTATTTTAAAGTAATGTTAGTCAATTTAGTTTGCCCTATTTTCTTCTCTTTTAAGAAAGGTGAAGTTACATTTGGTTAACAGGCATGTATGTACTGTATAATTATCTGGATATACAGTACTTGGCAGATATAGGTTAAAAGAGTATCTTCCTAAATGGTCAATTTGAAACAGTATGGCAATGAAGCAGCATTATGGCTGATAACACTTAGTTGAATCACTGGTGCTCCATACCCGAGGTGCAGGAGTTTCACACTTGTAGGAGAGAGTTGTGGCAGGCTGATGACTGTGCTACTCTTTTGAGATTTTCACCCATTCATAACAAAAATGATTGAGTATGGATGAAATGTGTAGTAATCAAGAAAGGATTGTAATCACAAAATCCAGTTAGAAATGAATGAATTTATGCAAATTTAAATTATACATACATATATTAACATCATTTACATTTTTCTCTTAGCAGTTCAGTATTAAGCTGCAACTAAGATTCATACTGTATCTTACATACTGAACACTCAGATTAGTCAAACATGAGCAACTTTTTACAAGCATTCATCTATACATTTATGGCCAGTACCGCCTATGATTGCTTTACCAGTTGTCGTTAAGTTACAGTATTACACAACCTCCTTGTTAATCAGTCTCTCTCTCTCTCTCACGTATATATATATATATATATATATATATATATATATATATATATATATATATATATATATATATATATATATATATATATATATATATATATATATATATATATATATATATATAAAAATAAATATATAAATAAATGTTCTTTGGTTGTGTACATTACATACAGAATGCACGGCTGTCATTTTCCCTGGCTATGTGCGGGAATTTAAAAGACGAAAACTTGCTATTCTCACTACAAAATAGGAGATTGCCATAGCTAGCTGTCTTGAACATTCCAATTTCCTTGTTTTGAGCGTATATTTTGGTCGCAGAGAACTATACCGAAGTGTTCAGAAGTATAAAAAGTAAACGTTTCTTCTCAAGTCTTCCATGTGAGCATTGTCGTTTATACTTAAATGTTATTTTTCCGAGACTTAGTGAATAAACACCTTTTATTATTATGCTATGTTTTATAACCCAGTTTGGTGTATAGGAGGAATAAGAAGGAAAAGTGAACTTATAGTGTGGTGAAAGAGAGGCCATTTTGAAGTGAAATATGTATATCACTAAAAATAAAATTGCTTCCTTTATGAATATTTATAAAATTTGCTTGTTCTCTTTTTCACTCCTTGGGCACCAGGACTTTCCTGTGAGTTACTCCATGTGTCTGTTTTATTATTATTATTATTGTGAAGATACGATACTCATAGGAAACCACATCTGCACGGTAAGTTTTGACATGTGCTCTTCTAAGTGAAATCAGTAGGTGATCACACTAATTTATGTGATCTGCTAACTTATTTTTTCTACTGTAACCCCTGCTAAATTGGACATTACCAACAAGAAATCTAGATAAACAGGGCCCAGTCTAGCCTGTCTGAACTCTTTCGTGAGAAATCAGAAATTTTTAAAATATTTTGATTTTTCACAAAATATGTCTGGTCAACTTCATCATGCATTGTACCCTCGTCAATTCAGGTTATTATAATTTGGACTTTGACGTAATTTGTATTTTATTTTATTTATTTTCAAAAATGAATCAAGCGATTTGAACTCGGAATGAATCTGAAATCATCGAGCTGTTCCAAAAGGTTGATTATTGTTATAGGAATATATTATGAAATGGATTAAGATGAATGAATTATGGGAATAGAATATGAATTATATTAAGATACTGTCCAAATTTTATTTGGTGTGTAGCCGGGGAGAAGGGAGGACAACTCTACCTCCCGCTCACCAACCCGCGATCCCTTTATAACAACAGTATGCAGTTCACCATAATTCCCATATTATTTAGGTTCATTTGGTACTGGGTTAATAAAACATTATCGTAAAATAGTGAATTTTCCCCCCAAAATCCCACACTCAATTCCAGATGAGCTGTTGCTCTATAGTATACTCTCAAGTCTCTTGTTGGCAGAGTGGTAACAGCTGATCGGTCCCACTGACCCCGCTCTCCCTAATAATGATGTCAGCACTAAGCATCTCTCAAGCACCATTGTTGTCACTGCTCAAGAGGGTTGAACATTTTCAACTAACTGTCAGTCCCTAGCATATCTTGGGGACCAGACGGGGTGACAGTACTCCAGATGGGGAAGCACTTCACTCTTGAAGATCGCTACCAGGGGTCCGTGAAAAGTTTTGAGAAATAGTGCGTTTAACGTTTGTGAGAGATTTGGCGATTCCAATTCGCAGTATATTTTGGATTTGGGTTGAAATAAGCAAATGCTTTGGACTATGATTTATTCTTTGATTATTGACAATATTTGTATGCATCATGGTATATAAGGGGTCCTTGGTTAAACAAGTTTGAGAACCCCTGGTCTAGATATCTGAACGACCTTATAAGACCCAATAATTTATTTGCCTGATTTACCTTCTTGCAATGGCCCAAAAACTTCAGCTCATTGTCAACATACACACCTAGGTCCTTTTCACATTCAGTCTCAAATAGTGCAGTTTCTTCACCCCGTTGGGACATATGATACGCCTCCTTACCGTTGGTACGCCCCAGGTGCATCCTCTTACACTTCGTGACATTGAATATCAGCAGCCACTTCTTTGACCATTCTCGGAGCTCACAGAGATCCTTCTGCAGCTCTTCGCAGTCCGCTTGGTAGCTATAGACGAGGGGCGTCTTACGTGCCAGCTTAGCGTGGAAATACTATAGGTTAGGTTTGGTTTGCTGAAGTTATGTCAGTTGGCTCAGTTAGGTTAATTTTTTGTGGGAGTACTTTATAATGATGCCCAGGATTAAATCCTGAGCATTAGTAACCGTGAGTACAGACAGGCTAAAGCATTTTAATTAGTTCGCACTCCCTCGAGAGACGTAGAGTAAGGGGCAATATGGAAGTCAGGGTTAAACAAATGTGATATAACAATGATACTCATCTATCCAGCTAGGAGCGAACTCTTAGGCAATGGTTTTAAATTAGACAAATTTAAATTTAGGTGCGAGATAGGTAAACATCGGTTTGGAAATAAGAGTACTAGATGAGTGGATCGTTACCAAAGATCATCATTAACTCGAACACGCTGGATAGCTTCAAATATAGGTTGAATGAATTATATTTATGAGCGGTAGGGGTTGGGTGTAAACGGGACGGCCCAGTATAGGCCAATAGGCTTGCTGCAGTTTCCTCCATTCTTATGTTCTTATACTCTTAAAAAAATGCCATTCTTTTTAAAAATTAAATTTCTTAACAAATGACTGTTCATTAACCCTCTTAGGTTTTCTCCAATCCGAATAAATTCATCTGGCGGTAGCCAGAAGAAAATCCTTAAGTGTTGAGAGCACCTAATCGGTTTAGTACATTTACAGTATAGTACACTAGTAATTTTGAGTCATTTCATCAAGTCTGTGCGGACATTTACTGTGAAAACTGCAACATTACCTTTATGCTTCTTGGTCTGAGGCTCAGGATTGATGACCACAGCACAACACTTTAAAATGTTTCAGATTGCCTCCAAGCTCCCCGGATTGTGTACAGCAACTCTCAGTGTTATTGCTGCATTCCAGTCATTGCCTGAGGCTGAATATTTTAAATGAAACGATTTTACATATATTTGTCTAAATATTTAATTTGTTTTCTGCCTCATTTTATTAAAAGGTCAAACAAACAATTAGATACTTAGGTAAAGCGTGGCAACTGCACTCCACGGAAATGGCAAGTTGGCAACCTCCCTGAGTCGGTCATTCCGGGCTCAACAACCTAGAGCCCCGCCAGTTACCTGTGGAAGTCCAAAGTGTATGTATCAAAGAAGTTGCTAGTGGACTTCTTGAAAGAACTCCATCTATTCAACATTTAAGGTGTGCAGAGTGATCCACATACATACTGATAACTAAGGAAACGCCAAGAAAAAGGGATTCAAATCCCAAGGAAATACGAATTAATATTTGTGCATCGAAGTAAATACGGCCTGGACTTCACAAGTTTTTGGGACGCTTCTGTCAGGTAAAAACAGATCTTTTCTTGATTACAGTTATGCAAACTTTATATACAGTATTTATGTTGGCGTAACTTATGAGTCTTGTTGCCTTATCCTCGTAGCTTTCATGTTTACCTTGTGTTTAGTTTCGTTTCAAACTTGTTTTGATTTAAGATTCTCTTGTGTACGTGAGGCTTAACGATTCTCTTGTTTACGAGAGGCTTTTATTAGTGGTACAGTAGTAGTAGTATATTTTTTTACGGGGATTAGCCCACCCGGGCACAGGTCACTGACCCACATCAGGGCCTCGGGGGGCGAAAATGTAATAATAATAATAATTCATAGTAAATAAAATTTATAATAAAAAGTAAAATAAAATATTAATGGTAATGATAATAATAACAACACTGTGATAATAATAAATGCAAAGAAATGCAAGAATGAAAAAGTCTACAGTGAGAAACGCTCTATGTATGTAGTTTTGTCATGTAATAGAAACAATTGAGACCCTGCAATTGTGTGTAAATGAGGCAGAAAGTCAGATCAGCAACCTGGGACTTGGTCACATATGGCAGCAGGGTCTACCATTAGACAACACATTATGCTTCCAATATCTTCCCAGGCGGTAGTACCTCCCTGTTCGGTAGCATCCCAGTTCAGTTAATATTGCTTTAGATAAAGTCACGAGAAAGACAAAAATTGAGTTGATTTCCAGACGAGTTTTCTGACAACAATGACTACTGTATACTGGAGGAGTACCCCCAAAGCAGACGACACAAACCAACTACACCTAAGTACAGTAGATGTTTATTCAATGATACCGCCATACAAGTTGACAGTGATTCAGCTCGTCAGGTTTTTTGTCTTGTGGCAGAGTTGTTTTTGCTTACATTCAACAGAAGGAAACTACGAATAGTAAACATACTATGGAATCAAATTAAAACAACATTGAAACAAATATCTCAAAGATAATGATTTGTGGAATGTTTATATGACGAGCCCCTGTAAAAGCACTAGTGAAGGGGACTGTACCATAGACTTTATCTTAGTAACATTCCAAGGTTAGTTTGGAACGATGAGACTTGAGGTGAGGTTGTCATGTCTCGTGCATTTAAAACAAATGATTTATTGGACACGGGTGAGGTAATTTCCACCATTGCCTTTCTCATAATTGTGAAGATGAAACAAGTGTCGAAAATAATTGTTGGAAATTAAGTTAGACCTAACATTCACCGGTAAAAATTTTTGGCCAAACTTTTCTATCAGTGAGTAAAATTCCCGTTTTTAGTAAACGTTGACAGGCATTAATATGGGATAATTTGTCTAGGTCAGTATATCGCGTTGCAGCGGCAAGTTAGCTATTTACCCCTGATAGAATGTGGTGGTATTAACTAGGTACAGTATGTGGGACTATGAACTAGGTATGTTTTTTTTTTTTTTTTTTACGGGAATAGCCCACCCAGGCACTCCTAAGGGGCAAACAATTAATTAAAAATAGAAAAGGGAAAGATTATATTACTCTACACTACGAAGATGCCGGAAAACCAGCTTTTTGAAGTGAGACAGATTGTATGAGTATGGAAATACAGTAGAAGGCAGAGCATGCCACAGTTTGGCTATGTGAGGAAAGAAGGATGTACTATAACGGGTTATTCTAGTGTGACTGACATCCACAGAGAAACAGTGGGCACCGCGGGCAAGACGAGTGTTACGAGCCCACGGCCTTGCCGGCGGTACTCAGGATGCCAAATCCACCGAACATTGCCCGTTAAAGTATCTGAAAAGAGAAAGAGTGAAGCAAGATCTTGGCGAAGAGAAAGGAAAGAAAGATTATCAACTAAAGGAGGAGAGTTAATAAGACGAAATGCCTTTGAGTCCACCCAATCTAACAGTTGGATAGAAGAGCCACCCCAGATATGAGAGCAGTACTCCAAGTTAGGACGAATGAATCCTTTATATGCTTGAAGCAACTGCTCAGGAGTTAAGTAGTTACGGCATCTGTACAGGATCCCAGCTTTCGGGAGGCAGCTTTAGCAATGTTGAGGATGTGTGACTTCCATGACATATTAGAGGAAATGGTGAGGCCTAGCATATCTATTTTAGAATTTGACAGAATGATTGCGTCCTGAAATGTGATTGGTGGGAGGTCATCTAATTTGGAAAGTGTAATTGGTAAATACTGAGTTTTATTACTATTGGTGATCTCTCCTACTGTACCCATCTTCGGTCATCCTCTCTTAGGGATTATGGGGAAACTTTTGTCGTGGCCATCGACATCTCCAAAGCATTTGACAGGGTATGGTACAAGTCTTTGCTTTCTAAACCTCCCTTTTATGATTTCTCTCCCCTACTTTGTTTTCTAATCTCCAGCTTCCTTGAGAACCGATCCATGGCAGTTGTTGTCGAGGGATCGATCTCTCGCTCTTTCTCTACCAATAGTGGTGTCCCACAGGGTTCTGTTCTTTCACCTACGCTCTTCCTTCTTTTTATCAATGATTTACTTCACACTACAACTCATTCTATCCATTCTTACGCTGATGATTCTACTCTTCACTCTACACATTTTCCCCTTCCCCCTAACTCTCAAACTAGTTCTGTTTCTAGAGCTGATATCATTACATCTATCAATGCGGATCTGTGCAGCATCTCCGAATGGGGAGGTAGAAACTTGGTTAAATTCAATTAAATTTAATTTCTTTCTATTCTTATTTTTTTCGCCCCCTAGGCCCCGATGTGGGTCGTTGACATGTGCCCGGATTGGCTAATCCCTGTAAAAAAAAATCCAGTGGGATATGTTGATGGCTACCGATGTTGGTTGTGTTCTAATGATTATTAGAACTTATTCAAAACATTTGCTGTGTGTGTGTGTAATAATAATAATAATTAACGGTTTATTTAAAATGTTTTGCAGCCCGAAGGCTGTGTGTGTGTGTGTGTGTGTGTGTGTGTGTGTGTGTGTGTGTGTGTGTGTGTGTGTGTGTGTGTGTGTGTGTGTGTGTGTGTGTGTGTGTGTGTGTGTGTGTGTGTGTGTGTGTGTGTGTGTGTGTGTGTGTGATAATAATAATAAACGGTTTATTAATAAAGTCACAGACGGTGGCTGAAAATATACAAACTTACATTTGATTTAGTCATAATGATATGCGTTGAATACATTTACAGGGCTGTACAGTACATAAATCAGGAGATGTTTATTATTTTAACAATAGATGGGATGGTGCTATTCTTATATCTATCAGTGCGGGCTCTTATGGGCTGAATTTTGTTGTAATGGCGGACTGCGCGAGGTGGGTGGGGGACTGCCGGTGGCAGGTGGCGGCGATGACGAGGATGGTGTAGTAGTCTACTGCCAAACCTTGCTAATGCTTGGTGGTGGAGGTCACTGAGGGATGGCATTTCCATGGTGGAGAGAGCCTTGATGTGTGTGTGTGTTTTATGGCCTATTTGCGAAATTGGTCTTTTTGCATAATGGCATTAAATGCCAAGCCACGATTAGGTTAGGGACCTCCTGGTATTCAGTGTTATGCAAAAGACCAGCTGCTTCGCAGAATCATTGGTTTTACTGGTTAAATGCCTTTGCACTGACCAAGAAGGCTTCTTGATCACACTAGGCAGTGTTGAGAATAATGTTGTCTTTCACTATTGCCTGCACTGCTCGTATAGTTAGTTATAGACTGTATGTGTTCTTAGACGGGTTTGGCATAGCACTATTGGACGTCTTGCCATCTTGTTGTTATAACATTATTACTGTGCTTCAACAACAAAGATCTTTACGCCCGTAACGAGATTAGTAATGCACTAGTCCAACAACATTAAATATTTTGGGAGATGGAACTCTCTGTGTGCCATCTTTGTTATTGTTTTCTTGCGAGCAACGGCGATGTGGAAATGGTGCTACAACTGGGCGTGTGATGGGAAAAGTCCATTTTTTGACCAAGAACGGAGAAATAAGAACCGAGAGCTGCGGAAATTTTGCCCAGTGTGATAACCCTTTAGGGTTTCCTCATCTATGATAGTCTTTTTCTGTACCATAATAAGCAAGTGAGGTTGGGGTTTATATCTTCTATTCGTCAATGTTATTTCCTTGTTATTAGTGTCTCTAAATCCTGGAACATGGTTGAATTGTGACGACTTCTTTACACACGTCGTAAGTATCTAAATGCAGCTCTCCACTCTAGGTTTTCCTCGACCTACAAAGCTATAAATGGAATATCCATATATTTGGTGGTGGGGGAGGGGCGGTGGTAAAAGTGAAGGGCATCAGTCTACACACACACACACATATATATATATATATATATATATATATATATATATATATATATATATATATATATATATATATATATATATATATATATATTTTTTTTTGGGGGATATAAAGCTAATTGTTAACATTTGGTATGGAGAATATATAATAATAAATTTAAACGAAATTTTAACCCTTTTGGCCTAAGAATAATTTCTGACATTCTTGACCAAAGACATTTCTCGATAGGGCAACTTTTCCAATAAGATAGTACTGTACACTGTTTGCTATATAAATAAAATCAACCTCGATACCTCTTTTTATTGAAATAGTTTATTAAAATTCTCAAGCATAGTATAAAAATAACCACTATTAGCAAGTAATCCTAACTGTTAATAAGTTTTTCCCGACCGGCTGCAGCCCACCATACATAGGCTGTGGTTCATGGTAAGATGCAGACTTAACAATACACAAAGCTCACCACTGCTGCCACAACCTCCCTGAGATAAATAAATATCATATTGTTTTGTGAAGTAAGATATAAATTTTGAACGAAAATATAAAAGCACGAAAACAGTTATTGTTAATTTTTAAAGTTTTAAATGTAAAAGCTTGAATGAGTTATTATTTTTTAAATTCAACTTAGCAAAATCACTTAAACAAGGGACAACGGGACGCCTGGCAAATCCTACTTATGACAGGGCGTGACGGAAGTGAACTTCAACCTCCTGCAGCACAACTCGCCGTGAGCACCACGTGAAACAGTTAGCAAAATTCATG